AACTGCTACCCCACCCCACTTTTATTTTGATTCACCTCCTTTCTGTTATACTTTCTGGTTCAGATTTATGTAACAAATATAGGAACTACACACTCTTTAAATACGAAAGACATGATTTAAACTAAGTTGTTTTCTTAGATTTAACCCATCTACTTCCATTACAATCTTGCTATATTAGCCATTAAATCTAACATCTTTTATGGTTTATCTTTCTCTACTATACTATAGCTAATCTGGGTTTCTTCTGATGGTTTAAAAGTTGTAATTTTTTGGTAATACTTACTTTTAACCTACACTTCATAATCAAGTGTATTTATTCTGATGCCTTAAAATTGTTTCACATAGTTAAACTATTAGCAAACTTTTCTCTATCTTTGCCTTTCTATTTCCTAACCTTCTGGGATCATATCAACATGACTGGATGGAGAAACTTCTAAGAATAGAAAAGCATACTTGTGCATGTCCATAAAGGTGTCCCCAGAGGTTAACTAAGAGATCTCACGTAAACATAGATGGGATTAAACACAGGCATTTGCTTTTGCTTCCTGGCCAACATGAAGTAAAATGTTCCGTCTTGCTCTCATTGCTATGTTGGACAGAAACTTCTTAAATTCCGGGCCAATAATTTCTTTTTCCCTTGTTTCTTTTAGGTACTTATAGCAAGAGAAACTCTCTTCCTGTCTTCTTCCCACTTTCATCCAGCAAACTTACACATGGTGATGGGTTTTGAAAGTGTGGTAAATATCTATGGAGGTGATGTTCTGATTGCTGGATTTGACACCAAGGGTTGGAGAAAACTGGAGCTAAAGATTTGAAATATACATAGCTCTAACTACTGACTCTGGAAACAAAAAGTGTAAGAGAGAATATTAATGCTTACGCTATAGGCAGAAGGAAAAAAAAGACTGTAAATGAAATCAATCTACTGGTTGACCCATTGTAACAATGAGATGTACAAGACAGTATGTTGAAAATGAACTTTACAACTTTGGTGGGGGGCGGGAGAGGGGAGTTAGTTGTGGAGGTGGGAGGGAAGGTAGGGGTAAAACAAAGGAGGCAACAATGCCAACAATGCTGGATAGGAAATGTACACATTACCTTGCTCATGTAACTGTAACCCTTCTGTACAGTATTTTTACAATAAAACAGTACAAAAAAAGAGAGACTAATCCACTGAAGGAAATAGTAATAAAGGTTTAACATTCTAAAAATGAAGGTACTCCCACTGCCAGGAATTAATTTTATAGATGTCTCTACTGGACCCAAACCTGATTTTGCTAAGTTTAGCTACTTTGATTCTGTTTGGAAAGGTAAGTTAACTGGCCTGCCAGGACCCATCAAAAACAGTACCCTGATTAGAGGACTGGTTATAGTTACAAAACTGAGTTATTTCTAAGTTGGTTAGAAATTCCTGTCCTAAGAAGTAGCTCTCACTCTACTGCCTGCCACTTTACTCAATTCTGAGATGTTATAAAGATCTACTTATCATTCATACTGATCAGTAACAAAAACCAAAGCCATGAGAGGAAATTTGTTTTTAAAAAAGTGGTTTCTGACCAGAGAAGTCTTCAAGAAAAGGCAAACTACAATGATTTTTGAAGGTTGTTTTATTCAAAGCAGAAACATGAAGGCATCAGGTTCTTTTAGAACATAAATGCTATGTAATGCAATGACAGTAAATGCAATGACATTAAATGTTTTAAAAAAGTGAGCTACAAAGAACGTGAGTTTGCCTGAGATCTAGCCTTGAGAAAATTGAACATTTCTTATGCTACCTTTGTGATGAGACTATACAGCAAGGCAGTACAATTTTAAAGTTCTTTAGTGTTTATGTATTCACTTTTAACTTAGATACATTTTAGCTATGTATGTACAACCATTAATATTTGACCTCTAATCATTTGTTTGCTATGATTATTCCTGTTTGTATACATATAAATCAAATCATAAGCATCAAATGTATAGATTTTAAGTTCATATTTATGTTAACAATGAACATTACTATGAGCTAGAACCTGTTCAAAGCACTTACGTAAAGTATATTAATGCATAAAATAAATATATTAAAGATTTTCCCCAAACTTGCAGATGAGAAAATTGAGTACAGGTTAACAATGTACCATATCTTCTAAACAGAGGTGACAATCTGGATTTGAATTTGAGTACATGTAGTATTTAAACCTTAATGAAGTCCTAAGTTTGAATTAACTGTTTTTTCTTAGTGTAGTTTTAATCATTAAGTTTAAAATTTATCACTGCCAGAGTCTAACTTATATTATGCCTTTGTTGGATTACTGCTAATAATTTATGTGCTGGTTTCTTTCTTTGTGGAGGTGGAAATCACTTTTTTTACTCTCTTTCCTCCCCATCCTCCTATTTTAAGACTAAAAGGCAAATTAGGTTAAGATTTTTAAAAAGTATCAATTTAATATTGAGTAGTTAGAAATATGGTACACACAGACATCATAATACAACAAAATGCATACAATTTTAAGCCACTCTACGAACCCTTAACACAGATGGCTGACAGCTTCCAATACATAAAACTTTTGACTCCATTATCAGATATTGGGGAAAGGGTCATTTTAAATACCATTTAATCATGCGGTTAGCTTTTGTGTAGAAAAATAAATATGACAAATATATGGATTTCTGATGTTTAAATTGACATAGAAATCTAAAGTATCAATATTTTCATTAAAGCATTTTAAAGAAACATTCCATAACATGAAATTGAGAGCTCAAATTACATACAATGAAAAGGCATGAGGTTTTATTAGAATAGTATAATTCACACACTGAATATTTACATTAATAATAAACATAAAACTACAAAACAACCATTTATTCTTTAAGTCAGTAACTTTAGAAAATTATTCAATGATATCTGGGCATAGAGGTACATGTCTGTAGTTTCCCAAAAGAACATACTTACTGGAATAACCACAAACTTCCAAATTCTAGTGTTAATAAGGAATACAAACATACAAAGTAATTCAAGAACTTAATTCTACCTTTGGAGAAGTAGTGAAGGAGTAACATAACATCACTCCTAGGGGATTGTCAAAGCTTTACTAGAACTCCTGGAGAGTAGATTTTTGAAAACAATGAGAATGAAACTCAATCCATTTACCAGCACAAACCTGCAATATATTTTCTTCTCTAAATTTAATGTTCACAGTTCAGAACCATGAGTTAGTGAGCAAAGCTTGAATGTCCCCATACCTATCTCTTCAAAATGTCAGAGGAAAAAAAAAATCCATTACCTTCTCTCATCTAGCTATTTTTTTGTAGATAATAAAATATTACATATAGCAAACGTGACTGAACTCAATCTTTAAGAAATAAATAGTAGTTCTCAGAACACAATTCCTAAGTGGAACTTAAACCAAATGTTAATTAGGTTATATTACAAATTTCAAAAGTTTATCTAGTGTTATTACTAGGTAATAGTAATATACTTTCCATCATTTAAATCATTTACTTAAACTTATTAAAGTATTACCCAAGCTTTTATTAGTACTTCGCTACTAAAAAGATATCCTTTTACTTTACTAAACTGATCTCCATGTGAAATTATAGCTTTAGAGATCACTCGGAGACTTTTCCTCAAGATATATGAACAAAACATAAGAATAACATAGTTTTCAAGTCATAGTATATGAGGTATTCTTCACCTTAAATCTGAAGTCACAAAGTCATAATCTATGAACTGGAATTAGATATTGCTTTGATGTTTAACAGAATCTCCTGGGCTGAGAATTAATACCCAGTGGTATCAGTGCATGCTTTAAACTACCTTAGAAAAGAAAAAAAAAATCTATGCCAGATCCTGTGGGAACCTAATAAGGGTGGGACTTAGTGCAGACTGTTTCTTGTGACCTATTTATAAAACATTTCTTAAAAAACATTACAGGAATATGCTTTCTCAGACTACATAATTAGAAAGGAATTATCTCAAAGGAACTAAAAATAGTTTTTGAAGCTCTACATAATTATAAATTAGTTACTAACCCAGAATGATACCTTGAGCTTTAACATTTAAAATTAAAACCAAATTTATTAGATACTATGGTATAAAGCTCATTGAAAATGTACTTTAAGGAAAAAATGAGATTTTAAAATAGTAAGACTTTGCATCTACTTGTAGTCTAAGATATTTTTTATGGTTAAAATTGCCATAACCACAGGACAGATTAACCCTATATTAGGTTAGTAATCTTTATAACTTGACAGCAGGCCAAAACAATCCAATTTTGCTTAAGCTACAATATATGCACAAATAGGAAAATATCCTAGAATTAAAATAGCTTTAAAATTTTTATTAATGTTCAGTAGTCAAAGTTAAGTATTTACTAAAAATATCCACCACAAGATATCAAGAATTTAGTGTTTAAATATAAACTTTTATAATGTTCTTTCTCAGTTAAACAGTACTGAATGTAGTAGGTTACTTATATCAGAATGATTAAAATGTGACTTTGGAAAAAAAATTTAAATAAGACCAGATAGAGTAACATGATTTCTTTTCTCAACAGTCTTTTTTTTTGATAGGTCATGGGGCTTGAACTCTGTGCCTGGGTGCTACCCCTCAGCTCTTTAGCTCAAGGTGAGTGCTCTACCACTTGAGCCACAGTGCCACTTCCATGATTTCTTACTTCTTAGTAAGAAACAGAAGTTTGGGGAGTGAAAACTTCAAAGAATAGTCATGATTATGTACCTTAACTTGTGTTACTCTCAATGCAAAAAAGAAATACAATATTTGTGAGCACCATTAGAAACGTGTGTGTGTATAAAACTTTACCTGCTTAAAATTTGCATTTCTGAGTAAAGATATGTATGGAATTATGAAAAATACATTCTTAAGCTAACATGTCATGATTATTTTAAAATGTCTTATCCAGCATCCTCTCTACAAAGCTTCTGAAGAACACACTATAAAGAAATTAATATTCCTTCATAGTGCAAATTTCTTGGTTTTTCCAGAAGAATTACTAAGGAAAAAAAGAATGCATTCAATAGTATTTTCAAACTATCACTGGTATTCAAGAGGTAAAGGAAAAATGAAGTTGGCTAATGGATTTACAGAATAAGCCAATATGTTAGATATGTCTTCAAGAGATCACCACTCAGGCCTCAAATTATTTAATTTGTAGTAGTAAATATTCTGCACGGAAAAAACAATCCTCCCTTTCATAATGAAAGTTTCAAAATTATCACCTTAATTTAGTATTTCTGCAATATTCATACATCCAAATGCAAATCCTCTGCTCTGTCTTATATAATAGGTATCCTCAGTTCAGACAGTTCTTTAACGAAATCTTATTTAGATCCTATGTAGAGGCAGCTTACAATAGACTGCTATATGTCCTTGACACTTCTGAAAGATCCCTGCAATCACATGACATAGACAGAAGTTCTCTGATGCCATTGTCATATGAGGAAAGAATGATGTTATTCTCCATTTAAAATACGTTCAATTTCTTCTAGTCTTTTTAAAGCAGCAACTCTTTTCTTCTCAATTTCTTTGATGTCTTTTGTTGTTTTGTGGGGGACATCTTTGTCTGAATTTTTTGCTAATTGTTTGTTAGATTTAGAGTGACTTTTATTATCACTTGTTTTTATTATCTGTGCTGGTGTAGATTCACTTTTGATTTCTTTCTCATGTTCAACTGGAATTTTGTCTGTCTCTTCGTCTGATGTCTTTTCATCTGGGAATCCTGGCTGTTCTACAAAACCAGATGAGGAAATTTTATCCCTGACAATACTCAAGTGACGCTGAATATATTCCTCATGTGGCGCTAAGGCCAATGTTTCAACCAGGCATTTTTCAGCTTTTAGTAAGTCCTTTTCCTCAAAATAAACAACACAAAGATTGTGTTTTCCTTGTACATTGTTTGGATCCATCTCCAAAATCTTTTCAAAACATTTTTTTGCTCCAAGTATATCTTTTTTTTGATTCATCAGAATGTCTCCTTTTAAAATAAGTCCCTTGATATGATCAGGGTAGTATCTGAGTAATTCTTCTAAAATTGGCAGTGCCTTTAATTCCTTTGCAGTTTGGGAATACAAAAGAGCAAGATTAAACAAAGCACTTCTGAAATCAGCTTGTAATTTTATGGCTTTCTTCATCCAAATCTCTGCCTCACTGTCTTTTTTGTCATCCATGGCAAGCATTCCCAAGTTGAAATATCCATTAGCATCTTGGGGCTCTTCATTTACATAGTGAAGAAGACGTTTTCTAGCTTCAGGTCTAAGTTTGACTTCACCTAAGAATATTTTTTAAAGAAAAATACTGTGAAATGAATTAAGCTGGATGATTCACTTTCAAGTATTTACTTAGATTATAAAATGTAGCATTAAACAACTAATTCTCATACATCAATAAAAAAATTTAAAGCCAAAGCCTAAGTTCATACAGAAAACAATGTGTGTCAACACTGAAGTGAGATATCACATCCTTTCCCAAGCACTAGTGTTTCAGAAACTAAGAAATCTCTTTATCATTCACAATCAAACATAGAAAATAGAGAAAGAAGCAAAGAATCCCCAAAACATATATTCAATCAATGTTGGTTCTGTTACCATTATAACTTTATACATTAAGTTATTAAACTTCTCTAGGTTAACTTTTGTGTTAACTCTCTGAATTTTCTAGAATTACACAAGTTATGTATGTAAAAGGTTTAGCAAATTATATCGTTAAATAAAAAGTATTAGAATTATAAAATCTGATTTTCTGGTATGTCAGATCAAATTTTTAAGAAAGTGTCAATGATATTAGCTATATAATTAAGATTTGAAAAATAAAATATTTAGACAAGTTCTATTGCAAATAAAAACTTTTCAAATACTATAGTTAAATACCATGTGCTGTAATATTATGTTGGATAATGAGCTGTTTTGTAAGGTTGGAAAAAATCTTACAAAAGTATGTTTTCTATAAATTTATATAAACGTAAGGAAAAAAGGTTATTTAGTTTTATAAAATGTCTCCTCTTTATCTAAACTGATCCTGAATGCACAGCTTTCCTGTGTCTGCCAATGCTGGCAGTATGGGTGTGTGCCACCATATTGGCTCAGTGCTATTCTTTCAACTGACAGTATCATCAAAGAAAAAATTCTTCTGCTGTTAAGAATTGCTTACAAACTGAAATATCTGATTCACCACACCATAAAATCTTACTTATGAAAAACTGAAAGAAAAACTGAAAATAAGTCATTTGGGCTTCACATCTTACCATGAACTAGCTACTAAAGTAACTTTATGAATTTGAGGTAGTTGTTAGACTTTGAACTCCATTAAAATAGAAGATCAATGAAAGTAAATTCAATGGTCCTCTTGAAGTTCTAAAATTCTGTAATTTTTGATACTTTCATCCTTTTTGTATGTATTATGAACTATATCTAAGAAATAATCAAAGTTGTAAATAAAGGGATTTCTTTCCAACATAAATATCATAACTCATCTAGGCAATCTTATGAATGCAAACTAAAATTCTTACATAAAATTAAGTACATATTTACTCTGATTAATATTTCAGTTTTGTCTTGTATATTTAATATATAAATGTTTATAAATATAATAGATGGGGTATTTCTTAATAAATTACCTGAAGCATCATTTTTAATACATACCAGAAGAAAGAACAAGTACTGTTACATATGCTTGCACTTACTACTTGAAAAGAGTTTACTTCAAGTGTTTTAAATATTCATTAATGCCCAGATCTGTTCATGTTTGCTGTAGGTAATGGCACTTCAGGTTTTACTATACTTCCAAACTGCCATTTAGTTAAATATAGAAAAAAAGTGATAAAGTATACCTGATTCTTGCATTAATATAGCAGAATTGAATAGTGCTAGCTTATGCTTTGGATTTAGTTCCAATGCATGATTAAAGTTCTTTAGAGCTTCATTTGGTTCTTTAAGTTCAATATAGACAATTGCCAAGTTATACCAAAGATCTGCATTATTTCTGTCTAGCTCCAGTGCTTTAAGATAGGCTTCCTTTGCTTTGAGAGGCTTATTCATCTTTAAAAGCAATTCTCCCCTGTCAAAAAATCAAATAAAAAGTTTACTTAGAAAATTACATGTCAGTTAATACACACAATTCTTCACAAGTTTTAAGCTTTTCTACATGCAATTTTCTTTTTTTTAGACTTAAAAGTTCTCTCTGAAAAAGGAAATATTTGAAATCTGAACTCCTTAGTTCAGAAATGTAGTTTCATATATTATCAAATATTATTAAAGAAAGGGAATTACTTGACTTTTAGAAGTAAGAAAAGCAGACAGAAAAAAATCTATTTCTCAACATATCTTAAAAAGAGACAAAACAGGCATTATCCGACAAATAATAGCAAATACAGAGTGGAAAACCAATGAATTTATCAAGTGATAAAATTATAGTACTTTAAGAAACATATACCCAAGTTAGAGGGAAACTCCAGTATTCAAATCTATGACAGTGTTATGTGTTTTTGTCTGCATCCCAGTGTATAAATAAGCTCCTTCACAATATCCTTATAAAATAAACATTCATGTAAAGGAAAAAAGAGAAAGGAAATTTCAAAAAGTTGGATGGGTGGGAAGGTACTAGTGCCACCTGCCGACAGTTTATAGGAACACATCTACAATTAAGGATTAGTTTGAAAACCACTGTTATGCAGTTGTTGTTTTTTTGAGAATTTTCAAAAGGAATTTGCTTTAACATATTTTTATAACATCCTTTCAACAGTAACTTCTAGGAATGACCATTTTTTAACTGCAAGTATTGATTTTTAAATTTTTTTTAGTTCCTGTCCCAGAGCTTGAACCCAGGTCCTGGGCACTATACCTGAGTGTTTATATCCAAGGCTGTCTACCACATGGGCCACAGTGCCATTTCTAGCCTTTTGGTGGTCAATGGAAATAGGAGTCTCATGGACTTTCCTGCCCAGGTTGTCATTGAACCATGATCCTCAGATCTCAGCCTCCTGAGATGCTAGGATTGCAGGTATGAGCCATTGGCTCCTGACATACTGAATAATTCTTAACCGATGAATGTAACACAATGAGCACTGGGTAAAGCTATAAAAGGCAACTCCAATTTAAGAACAGATTTTTATCTCAAAAAGTTAAATTCAGGTGCATAATGCCTGTGTGGACCTGATCATACAAAATAATACTTACAAAATGAGCTCTAGGAAATGGAAATGAGTTTTTTTTTCTTGTTTGCTATTTTTGTTTTCTTTTCTTTTTGTCCTGTTTGTTTGTCTGGATGTCTCTGGGAATGTAAGGGGAGGCATGGAAATGGAGGGCCAAAGGATGAACAAAGAGTGAACAAATGCATCAGTGAACTCACTGGACACTACACTGAAAATAAACTACACAACTTGAGGTGGGATCGAAGGGAAAAACTGTAGTGAGGGAAGGGGTTGGCATTATCCAAAAGGAAATGTACTCTTTGCCTGACTTATGTGTAACACCTCTGTTTTTAGCACTTTCAAAAAAAAGTTAAATTCCTAATGTACTTTCCTTATAGAAATAGTGTTGCAAATTATGACTAGGTTAACTGGGCAAGAAACAAAACTAAGCTTAACATACATTTTCCCTAAGTATAGTAAATAACTACAGTAGAACACAGATCATGTTCTAACATGTCATGTCAGAAAACATTTTTTTATTGTCAAGGTGATGTAGGAGGGGTGGGGGTTACAGTTACATAAGGTAATGAGCACATTTCTTGCTAAACTTATTACCCCTTCCCTCAATTTTCTCCTACTTTCTCTCTCTTCCAACCGCCCCCCCTAAGTTGTACAGATCATTTCCAATGTATTGTCTTGTGTATATTGCTGTTGCATTGGTTCCTTCTTGTCCTTTGTCTCACCATTCTCTTGTTTTCCTTCCCTTTCCTAATTCAAATAAACATATATACAATACCAGGGTACCAAAATCAAATGTAGTGACAAGAGGGGATATACCTTAGGGGCAGACCATACAAAAAAAAACAAAAAATCATAAAGGAACCAACCCAGATGCCCTTCAGTAGATGAATGGATCAAGAAATTGTGGTGTGTGTGCATGCGCGCACATGCACGCGCACACACACACACACACACACAAGGATTCTATGCTTCCATCAGAAAGAATGGCACAAGAAAACATTTTTTAACTGCTGTTTTTTGGCAAAGTAATCATTAATCAGTCAATTTTCAAAATATGGCTATCGGAAATTAGGAATCCTCTAGTCAATTAAATTTGTCAAACTAAAACAAGCTATTAACTCCTATACACTTGGTTGTCAATTAGGGCAACTAAAAGAAAAGCATGCCAAGTTAGTCAAAAAATGTACATGAGGTGTATCTTCAATTTTGTACAATGATAGCTCTAAAGTAAAGTGTAATACCTGCTGATGTAAGCCTGCTTGAAGTCAGGCCTCATGCTTATTGCTTGTCGATATAGCTGATCTGCTTCTTCTAGACGGGATTCATTTGCTCGGATCAGGTTGGCCAGATTGATATAAACATTTAAGTGGTTAGGTGCAATTCTGGCTGCATATTTTTTGCCAGGAATAATCTATTTAACACAAAAAGCATTTTCATATATTTGGCAAAAAGTATGTTTTCTTGACATGTTATTTAAAATAACATAGAATGTAAGATTAAAGTTTTACAAGACTAACAAAAAATAAATGAAACTGAATGCTTTATTATTCAATAAACATAAATTCTATTGTTAGAACTGAAAGACATTTCTTATTTACATATATCTTTTTATGAAATCAGATATCAGAATCTATTTAGGTCAAGGTCTCTTTAAGTCTATCACAACAAAAACAGAATACTCCAGAACTCCTATTATAGTCTAGTTGTATACACTGTTGTTAAATACCATGTTATCAGCAAAGTATTTCCCAGCTGTGAAAAATTACAGCTAGTTTCAGAGTTATACTAACAACTCAGTTGTTTCTTAACATTGTGAAATAAAATGTTGTATTTACTATTCATGTTAAATATTATCCTATTTAATGTGTACCCAAATTTTGAGCAAATAACATTAATAAAAACCTTAAAAATATAATTTATATCATTTTAGGACTGCAATGTTCCTTAGGATATCATATGGCTCAACTTTGCTTTAAGAAAAAATTTTAAGTTACAAATCAGTGTGAAATGATTCTAATTGAGAAATCTGCACATCAGGTTAAATGGTCTTTTCTGATGACACAAAGTTGATAAAGGGTAGAGTGAGATCTTCCATCTTTAAGATTGCATTATTATATCCAAAAAATATTGTCTCATTATAAAAACTGTTGAATACAATATTGCAGCAGAGATACAGGCATTCTTTTTTCACCTGTATTAACAGTTGTAATGAATTTAGTATTTAAAGCACAAAATCTCTACTTAAAAGTCATTTCACTCAGGAGGAGAATGAAGACCATCTAATATTTATAATCTAACATTAAGTATTTACAAATAAACTAAAACAACCCCCCAAGAAATCTTTAAAGAAAACAAATGCACATATGTAGGGACACTTGATTCATTTGAAACTTTGTCAAACTGAAGAAAATAATTTCCCATCTAGCTAATTCTATTAATATGGACACATAGTAGACATGATACAATAAATTACTAAAACTTACTTGAGGCATTAATGATTTAGCCATCATGTAAGATTCTTCAGCTTCTCTGGTTTTATTTAAATTTTTATAAGTTCTTCCTACATTCATGTGGGCACCAATATCATCTAAAATTTAATGAAAGTTATAATTTTTAAAATATATTAAACAGTATTTAATGTAAACCTCTATGAAATGCTTTATAAACACACTGGGCAAAAAGTGCAAAAGCAGACAACTTCTAGTTTTCTCTTTGAAGTTTATTTAACACAAATTGATACAAGTTAGGACCAATGGTAACTATAAAATTACTTAAAGCACTGAAAGTGAGGAAATGTACACACATGAAAAAATTATTCGAATGTATCTTTTCAGGGTAAACATATACAGAAATAGAGAGCTAATGATGACATTTACATAATTTGTCCCTGTATTTTTACTACACTACTAAGACTTGTTTTTATTTCTTTAATCTCATCATTTTGGCCTTCACTCAGAAAATATGGCTCAACTCTACAAGTGAAAACATACATCATGTCTTTTCAAATTTAAGTGTCATAAATGTTATGTATCACCGTGGGATAACAGCAAAGAAACTGAATAAACTATGATTTGGTATTTTTTGTGAATATAAATGTAATGAGAATATAATGGAGTATTAGGATCATAGCAGTAAGATGCTATGGTCCTTTTCTTTAAATGACCTATTTCTGTAGAAATACTATGAAAATGTACTTACAGAAAGAAAACAATACAATTTAAGAAATATATGATGACTTAATCATACTAGTTTTTTTGTAAATACACATTCTCAGTAAGTATTTCAAAGGCTGGGAATAAACTTGAATATCTAAACACGGTTATCTAAATAAACATGAATATCTAACAGACATGAAAAGGTTTCAAATTATGATTAATTGCCTTCAATACTGATGATTTTGCAAGTGTGGAAGAGTAGCTCTGACTGCAACTCCCAGGACACACAGGTGCCAAGCACCTTGGGCATTTCCCTGGGAGGAGGGCAATAGTCCTGAGATTTTGCTATGCTATTTTCCAAAATAGCAATTGAGTGTAGATGTGTAACAAGTTCAGAATATGAAGGATGAGAAAATTTATTTTTTTCATTTTAGATATATAGCTGAGTCAAAAGGGGGCCAAATATGACACAAAGTTTGTGTTAGTCATTTCCAGTCCTGGTTGTAAATCAGAGTATCAGTAGTTATTAAAATAAAAAATTCAGATGTTACTCAGCTCTAACAAAACATATTCTCTTCAGAAATAGGATTTGCAAAAGTATGTTTGAAAGTTTCAAATGCAAGTCTAATGGTAGACTAGGCTGAAAAATCACTGCATTCCCATGTATAGATAAACATATAGAATAGGGAATCTATTTTTTATCAGCTAAATTCATATTTGTTATAGAGATTAGAAAGCTATTTGGGGAAAATGAAGAGTATATTAAGACCTAAAAAATTATGCAGTAAAAATTTAAAAACAGGTGGAAAATTTGAATAAAGTGTAATTAGATTAGTATTTAAAACACTGCTATTATTAGCCTGAACTAACTTTAGAAGAGAGATATCTACCTAGCTACATCAGGCTTTAGAATTATGGTAAGGAGACAATGCCATCAATATAGATTTCAGGTACAGCTCTACTTTCCAAAAAACAAGGATAGTGATTAGCTATCCTTTAGCATTTGAAAGGATTTCTCAATATAACTAATAACATGAGACATATTTTCTAAGCAATTTTAAAATAAATTAACAAAGTTAAAATAATCCAGACTGGATTGTTTAATGGTAAATTTAAATTTGAAAAAAAATTAAGAAAATAATGCAAGATTAAAATAAATATTCAGATAACTAAAAAGCTAAAAAGTTTTTGTTGTTGTTTTGTCTGTTGTAGGGAAAGAACTCAGGGCCTGGACACTGTCTATCAACCTGTTGGTGCTTAAGGCTAGCACTCATTACCACTTGAGCCACAGAGTACCTCCAGTTTTTGAGTGGTTAATTGGAGATAGGAATCTCATGGGGACTTTCTACCCAAGCTGGCCTTGAACCACAATCCTGAGATCTCAGCCTCCTGAGAAGCTAGGATTATAGGCATGAGCCACCGGCACCCAGCTCTAAAAAGTTTTAAAGAACAAATTAGCTGTTATGAATGAGGAAATTATCTGAATCTATAGAAGTAGGCTGCCTTTAATGTGATAAAAATGAGGATCTCACAGATCTTAAATATACTCTTTGATTATTACATTCCCTTCTCTACTGAAACATCTAATATTATCTTATTTTTTATCATGGGAAGGAGATCAGAAGGGAACTCAATGTCTCATCATTAAATCTATCAACAAATTTAGTGGTATGAATATGCGTATGGATGTGTTTACAATATTATCACATACCCTGTATAAAAATGGTCAATCTTTTCTGTCTTTTTTTTTTTTTTTGGGTCCGGTTGTGGTGCATGAACTCTGGGCCTGGGTGCTGTCCCTAAGCTCTTCAGCTCAAGGCTAGCACTCTACCACTTGAGCCACAGCGCCACTTCTGGCTTTTTTCTTTTTGCTTATGTGGTGCTGAGGAATCGAACCCAGGGCCTCAGGCATATAAGGCGAGCACTCTACCACTGAGCCAACTTCCTAGCCCCTCTTTTTGTCTTTTCTACTATTAAAAATTATCTTCACTGAAATATATTTTGCAAGGAAGGTTTTTATCTCACTTTGTATTTTGTCTCTTTCAAATGATAATTTCTTAGTCATTTCTCTGATCTCTATTTCTAATCATTACTCTTATTTTTTATCTCTTTAATATTTTTTGTATGCATGTTTACATGAAAGACCCTATGTGTGTGTATATATGTATATATATATATATATGTTATATTGTATATTTTTGGTGTGTAGCTATGTGTATTTTTTCACTCACTTTCCACTGACAGAGATAAAAGGACACAATTGGTTTTCTCTGAAATATTTCGAGTTAGTAAATTGGAACAACAGTTCTAAAAATCTCTTATTAAAGAAAATTTCTTCTGTTTTTATAAGTAAAGAGTAGATACAGATTAGAGGCTTTCTCTTTTATATCCAACCTTTGTCTAGGAAAGGTCTTTCCAAAGGAAGAGGAAATTAAACTGGAGTTATGACATTTGGCCTAGAGTTTCTTGGGTAGTTGTTACCTGTGAGACATTTTGATTAACTTCTGTTCACTGTTTCTAACAGAAACTTGGTTATGTCTTGGGGTTCTGTCTATGGTTTACATTATGCAAGTGGTGATTGAGTTTTTTCATATCCTTTGCAATACTGAGCTTAAAAGAAGAGTTCATGTGCTTCATCTCTGGTTCTGTTTTCAGAAAATTCTCATTCCTCTTTAAAATTAAACTGTATACTTCACTATTCTCTTGTTGAAGTTACCAATCTTTGGATCTTGATTCTCTGCTGTGCTTTCAAACATCCCTCAGCCAAAATTCTTCTGATTTCAAAATCTACACTGTGGCCTTGATACTCTTTTATTTTTCTAGTGATTTTTACTACCCTCTTACTTTAGTTAGTTCAATGGACACAGTTTTTTTCAGCTAGAGAATAATAAAAGTGATCACCAGTCTGCATCTTTCCAGTTAGATTTTGTGTATCATGATTTTATTTGGTTGTCATGAGTAGAAAGTAATATTGACATTTGGTAAATGGGAATTACATGTGGTACATATCCTGTAATATAGATTATACTCTTGAAATTCTAATGCCATTTTCTCTACTGAAAATTTCTGCTGCTTTAGTTACACCCTACTCAAACACTAGTTCTACGTATTTGTTGATCCAGTCATTTTTCCTATATCAGTTACCCTCTCTTCAGATCCTTTCTGAATCAACTTACGTTATCCTACATTAATCTCTCCCTTAGTTTATGTTTCTTGGTAAAACAAACTTGACAAAAACCCTTATCTTAATGACTCAGTAATTCATGCTTAGAACATGACTACTACTATAGCTGGAAAGCAGCTACATCAACTGATTTAATTTTAAGTTATTACTAACATTAAGTAGGGTGTTGTTAGAATTACCTGTCATTATATTTTTATAGTCTACATATTTTCTTAGCTTCCTAGAGCCTAGTTTCTCCAGTGTGATATATGGGGCTTATCAGAAAGACAGAATGCAGGGTCTACTTATATTTTTCTACACCAAAATATATAATATACTAAGATGTCCAAGCTTTATGTGCATACTGACATTTGTGAAGCACTTAGATAACCACTTTATATACTCTTCTATTCTTACAATTTCTTCCCTTTACTCTGTATTATTTTATTCTCTATTTCACTGAAAGAAAAATAGAAGACAATTTAAGAAACGTATTCCATATCCTGTATTTATCTGTCTCTATCCACATCCATATACTGTGTCTTCCCTGTTCCCACATTTAGCTCTTAATACATTTGAATGAATTCTTCAACTTGTGCATCAGATCTTTTCTCTCTCCACTCATCTTTATAAGAACATCAATCTAGTAATACATCTTTCCACCTGACATTTTCCTTAGTGTTACTGGATTTCCTCTAACATGCTTTGTTCCTCCCACTTTAAAATAAAAAATTAAAACAAAAGACCCTCATCTACCACATTTTTATGCTCCCATATCCTTCCAATAACCTCAAAGTTTCTACACAATTCTCTTTGAGCATTCTTCCTTTATTATTTTAAACTCACTCCAATTCAGCTTTTGCACCTATCATTCCCCTATCATTTATAACATCACCACTGTAATTTACATAAAATGACCTAAGTATCTGGTATCAGTAGTTCGTTTCCTAAATGGTATTTTTTTTTTTATTTTTTTTTGGTCAGTCATGGGCTTGAACTCTGGGCCTGGGCGCTGTCCCTCAGCTCTTCAGCTCAAGGCAAGTGCTCTATCACTTGTGCCACAGTGCCACTTTCGATTGTTTGGTATTTAATTGGAGATAAGAGTCTGATCAGGGGCTGGGAAGGTGGCTCAGTGGTAGAGTGCTTGCCTTGCATGCCTGAGGCCCTGGGTTCGATTCCTCAGCACCACATAAGCAAAAAAAAGAAAAAAGCCGGAAGTGGCGCTGTGGCTCAAGTGGTAGAGCGCTAGCCTTGAGATGAAGAGCTGAGGGACACCGCCCAGGCCCAGAGTTCAGGCCCCATGACCGGACCCAAAAAAAAAAAAAAAGAGTCTGATCAATGTTTCTGCCTGGGCTGGCTTTGAACTGTGATCCTCAGGTCTCAGCTCCTGAGTAGCTAGGATTACAGGTGTGAGCCACTGGTGCCCGGCTTCATAGTTTTTAAACTATTCATAAATTAAATAATTAATAATGCTTACCTGGCTGAACATGGGTAGCCTGTAAGAAGTATTTCAGAGCTCTTTCGAAGTTCTTTTCATTTTCCAGAGCATGACCCACATTATTCCACAATTTAGCGTTATTTTTATTTACCTTAAGTACATGTAAAAATAGAAATGTTATAAAAAGAGAAATTCCAGTTCATACAGATATGTTTTGGTATACTATTTTGATTAGAATATTTTATGGAGATTCCTTGGGGTGGGAGAGCCAATTAAGACACCGCTTTGCCATATTACTCTCCTTTCCTTCTAATATTAATGTACTAAAATCACACCAGTCTTAATCATGTATTTTATGAGTTAGAATTTCATTAATTTTTTAATTGACAAAACCATAGTGTTCTGTAAAAACTGCTGTTCTACTATTTGTACTCTTTTTAGTTGCTCTTTTTTTCCACCCTTTTTTAGGAGCATTAGAGGCTACAGTTTAAGCCTTGTACTGATTCATTTTTTTTGTTTTAGGCCTGGTATATATAAGCTATTCAAGCAATCTATTATGGTAACAATAACCCTGTGCTTGAAGTTCCATATCAATTTGTGCATTCAGAATTCAGAGATGGGTATAGTTTTCTTACAAGCACAGAATGATATTCAGTGAAGGTACTAGCTGCAGTGTTTCAGATTTCATGTTTTAATTATGTCCTAGGACAAGCAAAGTTCCTAAAAAATTCTGAAGCACCATAATCACCCAGAAGTGTGACTGAGTAAGGAGGTTTTGCTTCAATATGGAGCTGAGATCAAAGTGGAGTTACTTTATTGGTAAGAAGTGTGTTATCTGATCTTAAAGAAGTGTCAAATAATCAATTATTAGACTACTGGAATAAGACAAAAATGGGTAGGCAACAGAGTAAATAGTCACAAATTTGGAGATTTGAAGAGAGGGAGAGAGCTTGGAAAAAGTCTTTACTGATACTCTTTATAGAAAACAAATTTATGATTGGTAAAAGAACTTTCTCAGCTTTATTTGTTGGTTGTGGGGCTTAAACTCATCAGGTCAAGGCACGCTCTACTACTTGAGCCACAGGGCTACTTATGGTTTTCTGGTGGTTAATTGGAGATAAGTCTCATGGACCTTCCCGCCTTGGCTGGCTTTGAACTGTGATCCTCAGATCTCAGCCTGAGTAGCTAGGATTACAGGTATGAGCCACTGGTGTCTGGCCTTTCTCAGCTTTATGTTGTCTACTCTAGAAATGCTGTATCTCTCCTTTCTAATAGCTCTAATCTTTCCTACAGTATTGTAAATACTGGTTATATTTCAAATAGTGGAGTGATACTGTCTGTTGTGTATTTTCACTGAATATAAGATGCATCAATTATAGGAGTCATCATAATTTTATACATCATTAAAAGAGTCCACTAAATGTGGACTTTTTACTGTTAAAATCTTGTATGGCCATGAGACTCAATAAACCACCAAAAAACCTGAAGTGGCACTGTGGCTCAAGTGGTAGGGTGTTAGCCTTGAGCAGAAGAGCTGATGGACAGCACCCAGGCCCAGAGTTCAAACACCATGAAACACACACACACACACAGACACACACACACACACACACACACACTATATTTATTCTGATTTCAGATACTGAAAGAAATTTGTGCCCTGAGAACCAATAAAATACAGCATTCTATTTAAATATTTTATCATATAAATGTCTTTTAATTGCATAACATTAATGTTTTGGACATAGTTAAGTAGGTTTTAGATGATTTAGTATATAAAGAATATATTGTTTTCAGTAATATTTTGGAAAAATATATAAGAATACATTATTTCAGGATAGTATCATAGTTATATAGATATGGTTAAAAGTAAACTTAAAACAGCTTAGAAGTGCTGATGAGAAATAACTGATGGCATACTTTCTTGTCATTCAGAACAATACTTTACCTTTAAGGCTGACATAAACAAAGTATATTCAGATTCCCAGTCCCAATTCCTGTGGAGTGTTTTTAATGAATGAGTTAGTATCACAAGGGATAAACAAATCCAGGACAGCTTTTTAAATACACTGTTTAAAAGACAAAAAAAATTTACATTTTAGAAGAGAGGCAAATAATACGTTAAATGTTCCCATGTTTCAACTCATTTGAATGACTGTTCAAATTTAGAGGAAATGACACTAAACAAATTTAAAGTAATTTGAGTCTTCAATTTTCAGTCATTCCTTGATATGCTTATGATGCTTCCAGACTCTCCAGGATACCAAAGTCCAAGCCCATGCAAGTCCCTAATATAAAATAGTGTAGTATTTGCATATAATCTACTTATATCTTCTTGTATACTTTAAATGAACTCTAGAATGTAAAAGGCCTGTTCAGTAAAAGTGCAGTTCTTTTTGATATATATTATATTGGTGGTTGGTTGAGTCTACAATGGAAAACCCATGGATACAGAGGGCTAACAGTATATTCTAATATTTGCCTGCATTTTAAAATGTGTTTGGATCAGATTACAAAAATTGACAAAACTATTTTTTATTGTGAATTTTTATACTTAGAGCTCCTTGTGCTATTATCTATACAACTTGAGTATTCTTGAGTATTTCAAAGAGTAAGGTTAAGAAGAATGTTAAGAGAAACAAAACAGTGTGGGAATCAGTAGAGATATTTTACATCTCTAGGCATATTAATGACAAAATATTCATATACAATGATAATATCTACTGCAATAAGTTTCTAAGCATATTTCTCCTTAATGTCTGTTTCGAGGCAATTAAAACATCCTATTATTATAAAAACAGTAATAGAAAGTTATGAATATTCACTGTATCCATTTTTTCATACATTGACAATAATGTGGTTAAACCTTTTGACTTTAGTTTTGGTAATACCTGTTTTCTATTTGGCTCTGACTCAAAGTTTGTTTTGTCTCAGGCTGTAAATTAAAATTACTTAAATATGCAAGAGACTACTAAATAAGTAGTTGCTTTTCTAACTTTAATTACAGAAAATGAAAAGATGATCAAGATGAAAAAAAGAGAAATCAAAAAGTATGTATATAAAATGGGAAGGTGGCTCAGTGGTAGAATGCTTGCCTTGCATTCATGAAGCCCTAGGTTCGATTCCTTAGCACCACATGAGCAAGAAAGCTGGAAGTGGCGCTGTGGCTAAAATGGTAGAGCACTAGCCTTGAACTAAAGAACTGAGGGACAGCACCCAGGCCCAGAGTTCAGACCCCTGACTGACAAAAAAATATAAAGCAAAAACCAACGTCCCTCTCCCCCCAAAAAACATAGTAACATCATGCTTATTATTCCAGTTGATCAGGAAACAGGGACAGAAAGATTATAATACCAGGCCAGCTAGGGCTAAGGTAAGTTAGCAAGAGACCTTATCCGAAAAACAAACTAAAATAAAGGTAAAGAACTGGGGTGAGATAGTGATGGGGGGTAGCTCATATAATAAGAGTACTTGCCTAGCAAGCTGAGGACATCAACTCTCCAGTACCACAAACAAAAATTAACATGTAATTCTACACTGAATGAACATTAACTGAACTAATTCACCTTTTGTTTGAAATTTTCTGCCATCCATGGGCTACCAAAATACAGAACCCCATGCTAGGAACATAAAGTACTCGCTCAGCGACAACAAATCCAACAGGGAAAAAAAGGTTCGAAGCAGGAATAAATGGTAATGCCATTAAACAAAGTGCCTAGAAGGAAAAAGACAGTTTATTAAATTAAAAATATATATTCATGCTTAACACTCTACTATCAAGAAAAATTAATATTGTCAAGAATAATTTATAATTTTTTCCAAGTCTTTCCCTAACAAATGGGGTGGGTGTCAATCTTTCTGATGGAGGCATAGAATTCCATTACACACACACACACACACACACGCATGCACGCATGCACGCTCGCCGTATTTTCTTGATCCATTCATCTACTGAGGGGCATCTGGGCTGGTTCCATACCTTAGCTATGATGAATAATGCCACGATAAACATAGTTGTGCTGGTAGCTTTAGTATGGCCTTATGTGTGAGCATTTGGGTAAATGCCCAAAAGTGGGATTGCTGGATCATAGGGGAGCTCTATGTGGAGTCTTTTGAGGAGCCTCCATACTGCTTTCCAAAGTGACTGAACAAGTTTACACTCCCACCAACAATGCAGTAGGGGTCCCTTTTGGCCACATCCCTTCCAGCATCTGTTGTTATTAGATTTCTTGATTGTAGCCATTCTAACTGGGGTGAGGTGGAATCTCAATGTTGTTTTGATTTGCATTTCTTTTATGGCTAGAGAAGTTGAGCATTTCTTCATGTGTCTATTGGCCATCCTTCTTTCTTCTTCAGAGAAGTTTCTCTTTAAGTGAAGTAAGCCAGGCCCTTATTTGCAATAACTAGTATTAAGTATAGGACAAGCAGAAAAGGTCTAAATCTATGTACATTATGACCATATAAGATGATGTTAAATGAAATGAATCCCACGATAGAAACACAACTTTTTTTTTCTTTCCTGCTATTGTTTTTAACGTATCTAAAATATACTATGTGATTTTTTTATTTCTCTTGTATGTTCTTCCCCCACAGTATAACCACTGTTTTCACTGTATTTGATGTCAGTGGCCTGCATCTTGAATGTACATTTTTCCAATTTGGGGAGGGAAAGAGAAATAACAAAATGTTGAAATTAGGATCAGATTGACCCATTGTAACAATGAGATGTACAAGACACTATGTTGAAAACAAACTTTACAACTTGGGGGTGGGGGAGAGGGAGGAGTTGAGGAGGTGGGGAGAGAAGGAGTGGTAGGGGAAAAACAAAGGAGGAGCTAACAATGCCAGATAGAAAATGTACTCATTACCTTACTCATGTAACTGTAACCTCTCTGTATTTTTACAATAAAAACATATAAATTTATAATGGTACTATGAAAACAATACCATGAGTAATTTAAACATAAAAAATCAATTTGATCAAATTAAGAAAAATCTTGTATCCCAATTTATAATTTATAGGTATTTATAGGCTGTAATTGAAAACAAGATGCCTACCTACATTTTGGAATGATTTCTTTTTTTTTTGGTCAGTCATGGGGCTTGAACTCTGGGCCTGGGCGCTGTCCCTCAGCTCTTCAGCTCAAGGCGAGCACTCTACCACTTGAGCTACAGCGCCACTTCCGGTTTTCTGGTGGTTTATTGGAGATAGGAGTCTCACGGTCTCTCCTGCCTGGGCTGGCTTTGAACCATGATCCTCAGATTTCAGCCTCCTGAGTAGCTAGGATTACAGGCGTGAGCCACCAGCGACAGGCTTGGAATGATTTCTTGAAATGCAAATCTGGACTTTTTTTTTATAGCATTTTAAATTTGAAAGAATATTTCACTTTTTTCCAACAATAAAAATTGTGGACAAAAGATCTGAATAATTTTGTTTTACAAAAAAATATGTAAATGGCCAAAAGTTATATGAAAAAAAGACTCAAAGTCAATATTATTGAAGAAATGAACATCAAAATTACAATGAGATTCATCTAACTCTTGTTAGAATAACTGATTATCAGAAAGACAAAAGAAAACAAGTAGGGGCAAAGGGAATCTTTTGTAAGCTTTCCAGTGAAAAATACAAATTGGTAAACTCCCTATAGATAACAATATGGAAGTTCTTTAAAATATTAAGAATAGAAGTACTATATGATCCAACAATCTCGTTATCCCATTAATATGCTTGGAAAGATTTCTGCATTCTTGTGGTTACTGCAATACTAGTCTCAAGAGCCAAGATATGAAGAACACGTATTTATCAATGGATGAACAGATAAAGAAAGTAAAGTATAGGGCTGGGAAGGTGGCTCAGTGGTAGAGCGCTTGCCTTGCATGCCGGAGGCCCTGGGTTTGATTTCTCAGCACCACATAAGCAAAAAGAAAAAAGCCGGAAGTGGCGCTGTGGCTCAAGTGGTAGAGCACTAGCCTTGAGCCAAAGAGTTGAGGGACAGAGCCCAGGCCCAGAGTTCAAGCCCCATGACTGGACCCCCCCCCAAAAAAAAGAAAGTAAAGTATAGATATACAGGAATCCTATTCAATGTTTGCCATTTGCAGTTTGTATGAATGTGGGTGACATGTTAAGTAAAATAAGCAAGGCACAGAAAAACAGCATCCTATTACATAGATATGGATTATCACATGAAATATATAGAACATGTAAATTAAGAATAGAATATGGCCATTGGGGTCAGGAAGTAAGAAGTTTAGAAAAATGTTGGTTAAACAACACAAAATTTTATTTAGATAAAAAAATGTTCTTTTTAAAAAATATATAATTTGTTATTATTAAGGTAGTGTTGTGGAGAGGGGTTACTGTTTCATAAGCCACGTAATAAGAACAATTTTTGTTTTTGACAATGTCACTCTTCTTTGCTTTCCCCAAATGTTTAAAGGATTACAGTTTGAGGCTAACCCTAGAACAAAACGAGATATCCTACTAAAAAAATAATCAAAACAACAAAACTTTGTTCCAAGAAATCATTATGATACTGGAAAATAAAGGAATGAAATAAACTATGGATCAGATGAGGCATCAGACTTCATGCTCTGTACTTTAGCACTAATGATAGGTCACATATATTTTACTAGAGGCTCAGTATATATGTGTGTGTGTGTACACGCATGCATATGTGTGTAAAGATATACACACATATGTAAGACTTTTTAAGAGCAATTTTTATTCTATTAAGTATTCCAGAATTTTAACATTTTATATTGAAAAATAGCTCAGCTTTTTAGAAAAACAGGACATGTGTTTTATTGATTATAAAGCTACAAATAACTAGCACCCAAAATCATTTGAGAAAAGATTTAAGTTTGATCACCATTGAAACACCTGTTTCTTTGGACATTTACTTCTACAATCTGTTACTCAGTTTGGTTGTATAATATCTCATTGAATGCCTTGTTCTTTCAGCTTCAGAAATCTGAAAATCTTCTAATGAGGTTTGGAGAAAAGAATGTGTCTTTCTTATAGTTTATTGATGAAATATAGATGTAGAGATGTATAACTTTGAAAAGTATATACATGAATGACCAATTCATAAGTCAGATAATAAGAACAAATCTATTTGGACAATGTCACCCTTACTTTGCTTTCCCCAAGTGTTTTAAGGATCATACTCTGAGGCTGACCCTAGAAAAACAAACAAGCAACCATATTACACTGGAAACTGACTTCTGGCTCTGTACCTTAGCACCACTGTATAACTTTCTGATGGGTCACATATATTTAACTTGTAATGAAGCAATACTAAATCTGAAAAAGCACTAATCATAAAACAACAAACCAAGAAACCATCAAACACTAACCACCAACATATGTCTCTGAAATTTCAGTGTTTTTAAAAAATCAAAACCACAAAAAATATGGATGTGTGTAGTTTAGTTTTCATTTTCATTTAGTTTTCATTTTTCATTTTGCTTGATCAAAAATATACCTATAAATCATGGTTGCCCTAAAGCAACTACATTAGCAAGAAACCACCAAGAACTGAAAAATCCTTATGTCCTCTTATTTCTATCCCAGTTTTAATTACTAACTCTATTAATAAAATTTTATACGCATATCAGAAATTTCCTATTCTAATTAATAAACCCTTTTGTGTAGCTCAGAGATCTCTTACGAACTCCAGACACAAAGTACTGTTCAAAAAGTCTACTATGTTTGGAAAAAACTTTCAACTCAATGTATCTGAAGTTGAGAGTAAAAATTTTCCCACAAACTCTCTATGTAGTTTTCTTTACTCTTCCCCTTAGCCACTGACTTCAAATTTCTCTAGAATGCAAATTCTCTTAAAATGGGAATCTCTACTTCCTTTTTAGGTACTACCAGGGCCTGAAATGATGCCAGTCCCTCAAGTTGTGATCATGAATTTCTTCTGAATAAATATATTTCTCTAGTGGCTTAAGGCAGAAATGACACACTTATGAGACATCAGATGTTTTATAATGTATAATAAGTGCTTGAGAAAACTGTGACTGTCTTCAATAATTTTGAAGAAAACTCTTGTAAGAAGAACAGAACTAAAAAAAAACTGCAAAGAAAGAGTTGACAAGAACAACAACATCAACAAAAAGACATAAAAATAACCAGGGGCTTATGGACATAGTTATCTCAAGAAATAATGAAAATCTTGCTAATGAGAACTTAAGAACTACATTTTTTCCCAGATGTATTATATTTTATATGACACTCTTCTCTATCCTGGGAAATAAGTATATAATATATAGAATATAATCATTTTATCAAGTGTGTGTAATCTACTAAAGTTAAAAAAGATGCAAGAAAATAAATTCAAAATGAGTACTTTGTGATGTGAGAAAAATTCATGATCAGTTTTCATTTTATACTATTGAATGCATTTGTGAAAAGAAGCCTGAAAATTAAATTCTGCAGTTTTAGGATAATCTAAAATGAGTTTGCAAATTGAGATGATAAACAAAGAAAGACAATCTTTCTAAAAGAATTCTAAAAGAATGCTCTAAGTACAAGGTGCTCTTGTACTTAGCCTGAACACAATACTGCTTAAAAAGTTAAGATAGGCCGACTCTGGTGGCTCATGCCTGTAATCCTAGCTACTCAGGAGGCTGAATCTGAGGATAAAGGTTCAAAACCAGCCTGGGCAGGAAAAGTCTGTGAGATTCTTATCTCCAATTAACCACCAGAAAACCCGCAAGTGGTGCTGTGGCTCAAGTGGTATCAACTTGAGCTCAGGGACAGCACCTAAGCCCCACAACTGGTTGGGGGGGGGGGGAAGGGGGAAAAGTTAAGTTGGAGCTGGGTGCTGGTGGTTCAAGCCTGTAATCCTAGTTACTCAGGAGGCTGAACTGAGCATCTTGATTCAAAGCCAGCCCAGGGAAGGAAAGGCCATGAGACTCTTATCTCCAATTAACCAGAATACCTGTTTCTTTCAACATTTGTTTCTACTGTAGAAGCTTTGTTGTATAGTGCCTCATTAGATAATTATTCTTTCAGCTTCAGAAATCTGTGGCTCAAACTGGAAGAACATTAACCTTGAACAGAAGAGATCAGGGACAGCACACACAGCCCAGGTTCAACCCTCACAACCGTTAAAAAAAAATTAAGATTACTTACCATTAGAACAGTCTTAGAAGAATCACCAGGGTATCGAAGACTAAATATTCCCAAAGCCCCAAGAAAGCAAAAGAAAGCAAAAGTCGCAAGATTTCTAATATCCAGAAATGATTCTATAAGTGGTATTGTTCCCATGGTCCAATCACAGCAGAGCTCTGAAGGATTTAATAAAAGCCAAGCATTCACTGGAAGAAGGTAGTTAAAAGTTAGCTGTCTGGTAGGAGTTGGGCTTACAGCAGCTGGGTTATCAAATCTGTATAAAGAACAACAAAAATATCTTATGTATAATCTAGTAAGAAAAATTTATTTTACAGGTATATCAGAATCTTATTGAATAAAAAATCATATTGAATAAAAAGTCTAGTTGAAGGTAGTATTTATGAAGAACTTTTGAAGTACAAGTACTACAATTTTTTCCAGCATTTATTAGAGTAGTTCAGAAAATGAAACCAATAATACTGACACTCTTAGAGGTTAAATTATCTTCTAATTAAAATTCCTAACAAAACTGCCTAAGATTCATTTTTTAAATCTACATGGCTGTTTTTGTAAATACCTATGTTTTCCTATGAGATGTTTCTTTTAGAGTTAAATACTAATAAAAATTATGCTTCCTAGAAAAAATTCAGTTTTTTTTTTCATGACAGATACAACTTATCAACTGTATCACTTAGAAGCTTCTTTTCTTTGCTTTGATTGCCAAGAAATTAGACATCAAATTTCTAGTATGGAGTACTTAATGATATTAAGCCCACATGTGTATTTTCTTCATGTTCTCCCTTTTCCCCTGGTTTATATGAATACAAACAGATTTAGTTTATTTTTCTCCAAATCATGATACATTAAATATTTTTTCTTAGTAAAACCTATTTACTAATACATTAAAATGTTTAAAGTGAGCCATGTAACAAATTAGTAGTTTTAGATTTTTTAATCTATGTACTAAATTAAATGATATTAACAGTCATTTTAAAATGAATCAGTCAACTAAAAAATCAACCTCCATCATTTAATTGACCTGTTTCTCCTCAAACATATCCAATGGCTGAAAACAACTATAACAATAAAAAGAATTTTCATATTTAAATCTCTATATAGATGAAAAATAATACACCTTGAAAACCATGTGTTGAATTTTCAAAATAACCAGTAAAAATAAATTAAAAGCTATGTTTTTTTCTTTTTCAGAGGAATCACTATTCGGGTTTTTAATTAACATCTTATTTATCTGATTTACAAAGTTAATATTCAACAAATCAAATCATATAATCAACTTCACAAGATAAATGTAATAAAAGCAAACTTATGTCTACATATTTATAAATGCTTCTGTTTGGATAATATAGTTGTATGCAACAAATGCTAAGCACCTACTCATACATGTACACAAAAATACAATTCAAACATATAAATCATATTTTCAGACTGTAGAGGTAGAAAATGATTAAAATTCCCCTAAAGGGTTGATATTGAGAAGAATAACACATGGAAAATAATTAAAATTCTTCGAAAGGGTTGAAAAATTGCAACACTAAGGGTTAAAGGAAATATAAAGTGCATGTTTACAGTTCAATTTTCAAACTGTAATGTATGAATGACTTCAGTTTAGCATGAGTAGACTCAGAGTTAAAATTCAGGAAGTTGAAAAATAATCAAAAGAAAAAAATATAGCAGGACAATCAACTACATGCAATATTACAAAGTTTTTGGCTTCAAAATTATCTGAATAAGATTTATTCTAACTAGTGCCAGTAATATACTACCACGTGTAACAACATGAAAAAAAAATTTTCTTCAACTCAGGGCTGAGGCACTATCCCTGAATTTCTTTAGGCTCAAGGCAAGTACTCTACCACTTGAGCCACAAAACCAATTCCAGCCTTTTCTGAATGGTTTATTGGAGCTAAGAGTATCATAAACTTTCCTGCCCAGACTGGCTTTGAACTGTGATCCTCAGATTTCAGCTTCCTAAGTAGCTAGGCATGAGCCACCAGCAACTGGCTGACAAAAATGTCTTGTGTTAAAAAAAAAAATGCTGAGGGGGGCGGGGAGGTTTAGGGGGGTGGGGGGAGGATGGGGAGGGATGGGAAGGGGAAACAAAGGAGGAGGCTACAATGCTTGATAAAAAATGTACTCATTATCTTGCCCATGTAATTGTAACCCCTCTGTACAGTATTTTCCCAATTAAAAAAATGTTACATATAATGTCAGTACAATAAAATGGCATTAGGAACTAGTAAGTTTCACTTAAAATTTAGCTGAATAAGGTAAAATGTGAATAAGGTTAGAGTAGGAAAACACGGCAGGTGCTTATAATTTTACTTCTAGCCTTAACTAATTTGTAAGAGATATAAACCAGTATTTGGGGGAAGGCAGTACTCAGAACTTCCTGCTTTTGCCATGTCCTTCAGCCCAAGCCTTTTTGCTCTTGTTAACTTTTTTCTTGGCCTGACCTAGTTCATGATCCTATTTATGCTTCCTTTTATAGCTGGAATGACAGACAAGAATCACCATACCAGCTTTTTCTGTTGAGAGAGGATTTTGCAAACTGTTTTTGCCTGGGTTGGCCTGGAACCACCATCATGCTGATCTCAAACTCCTATGTGTGTGTGATGGCAGGTGCATGTCAACATATCTAGCTATCGGTTGAAATAAAGATCACATAACCTTTTTGCCTGGGGCTAGCCTCAAACTTCCATCCTGATCTCTTCCATCTCCATACCTCCTGAGAGGTCTGGCTCTCCCTCCTTGCCTTTCTCTCCTTATATATAAATATATACACACACACATATACATTACAAATTTATACAAGGAGAATCTAAGGATCAGGCAAAGAAAGATAGTGATAACTAAGAGAGGAAAGAAAACAAATGAGGGATGCCCTACCTGGAAAGAATTCAGTACTGGATAGAGCTTTTAGTTGGTAGAGCCCAGGCCAAGCCTAGCAGTACACTTGAGCTGAGAAAAGAGACAGGAGGCCGGGGCTAGGGTTAGTGGGACAGCATACCAGAGAGAATAAAGCTGCTGAGTAAGTGAACTTGATGGTCACTATCCACTTTTGAGGTACTAATGAAGAATTCCTATTAGCATATATGTGAAGGTCAATATAATGAGTTAAATCATATGTCCCCAAAATTTATGCCTACCTAGAGTTTTAGAATATGGTCTTAAAAACACAGCTTTATAAGTGTAACTTGTTAAGATAAGGTCGTATTAAGTTAGAGTGGGAAAAAACCTCAATGACTAGTAATATTTATAATAGAAAAGAGAGGACAAACAGAGACACATGGGAAAGAAGGCCATATAAAGATGGAGAAGATTGGAAAGCTATCTATAGTTACAAGTTAAGAAATGCTCAAGATTGCTAGCAATCAACAAAAGTGGGGAAACATGCATAGGACAAATGCTTCCTCAAAGCCTCCAGAAGGAACCAACTATGCCAATATATTTATTTTGGATGTAAGACTGCCAAATTGTGAGGAAATGAATTTGATATTTTAAGTCATCTAATTTGTGGTCACTTGTTAATAGCAGTTTTTGTTTTCAAAGGAAAATTATGTCAAAAAAAGAAATCCTGAAAAAATTAGGAGATAAAATCCCCTACTGTCAGACTGAAAAGGAAGCTCCTCAGCAGTCAGAAGAGAAATACTGGATATTCAATCCACTGGTAGAATAGTCAGAAATCTCCCATGAAATGAAATAATCCTATACTAAAGCCTGAGAAATAGTAAAGCAACAATCATAAAATTTTGAATGAAAAATAGTCAAGGTAGTATTCCTCACTCAAGAGAAATCATGTTTCAAAAATAAATGTAAAATAAAGGTATTTATACACACAAAAGTTATTTCTAGTAGAGAAAGAAATGATAAAGTTCTTCATAGACAAGGGAAAGTAGCAGAAGATGAAAATCTTGATCTAACAACAGAATAAAAGGAAACAATCACTGCATGGATTAATCCAACTGACAAAATACTACTATTTAATAAAAGTAGACATATATTACTAAGATTTATGGAAGACAATATTAACCTGAACACTTAACCAGTTGGGGGAAAGTAATTAGCTTTGTTGTGGTTTCTTGAGTATATATTTATGACCAAAATAATCAATCTGTGTATTTTAAATTTTATATTTTAAATATGGTGATTATAGATCAAAAAAGTGCTAAAAATTCAATGTAAACCCAAGACTTAATGGAACATTTATGATGGTTTAGCAATCTTCCAGTCAATGTAACAGAGTAGGGAAGAACAGAAACAACCACCAGAATTTCATACCTTGTAAACACTGGAAGTTGGGACTGAATAATCTGGACTCTAATCACAACAAGTAATAATGTACTGAACATCAAGACAATGAGTTTTATTAGTGTCTGCAGCATAGAAAATGGAATACTACTCTTTCCACGGAGAAACTGTCCAGCAGCAGTACCTAATAAGGGCAAAGTATACTGAAAAAGAGAAAAAAAATGTTTAAATTACAAATATCAAGATATATTTTCAACATATTTTCCTCAATGAAAATTAAGGATAACAAAATAATGTGGTACAATTTGTAGAACTGACAATAATCTTATCTGATAATAAATTGTACTGTAATGGTATTATTGCCTGCATTCCCAATTTGCCTGAAGATTCCATTATTGAAACTTCACAAGTAGTCCTTAACTGAAGGTGTCCGAAAAGTTAATTTGCAGAAGACAAAACATGCTTTTTTCTTCTAAATTTTTGGTATCATTACTGGATTGGTATTATTGCTGGATTTATTTTATTTGTAATAATATATTCAGATAATAAAGTCATTTACATCTTATTTAGCTAGGATATTAGAGAATAAGAAAATTTTTCTTACCCCTTGCGCAACAAATACTTCATACACACAGCAAATTCCTACAACTGTGATTCCTTGTTCTTTACACAATGTTGCAACAGCCACTAAAAACACGGTCAATGCTATTGGTGACCATACTGAAATTTAAGAATAGAAAAAAAAACATATTAATACTTCATTTAAAAATGTGTTAAATGTATTTTAATTATCTATGTAGCATTTGCTTCATATATTCAAAGAAAAACACCAACATGTATAAGTCCAAGGTAAAAAGAAATGTCTGTGGAAATGAAAATTAACTAATCCAAAATACTAACTTAAACCACTTAACTTAAAACACTAACTTTTAAATGGAGAGTGGTGAGATTAGAGTAATTTTATGGGTTGAATTCAATAATTCAAAAGCTACCAATCGAAAATGAAAACTAATCTGAGATGTTTATCTCCAATTAACCAGTAAAGCCAGAAGTAAAAAGAGTGAGCAGCAGAGGTTTAGCAAGAATGTAAATCTTTGCATTCCAGCCCCAGAGCTGGTTCACAACAAAAGTAAAAACAAAACCTACACATAAAAAAGCTTAAATAATAGAGCCCTGGCTTACAAGCAGGAATTTATATCCCAATATATAACAATAACAACAACAGAAGAAACAAAAAGCAAAATCACAAAAAAGAGAGGCATAAATAGCTCAGAGGTACATGCTTTCCTAGTACTAGAAAAGCCATGGGTTTGATCCACACCACTATTAAAAAAACAAAGAAGCTAGTTTGACCACATCACTTATTTCTTCAATCTTCATTTCCAAACATACACAATCAATATGTTAGTATTATAGTAAGACCCTCCACCCTCCCCATACACACAAGATTCAGGAAAAAAAAGAGATTAAACAAATAAAGACTAAGACTTATTATATGAAGCCTCTTTCATGTCAACTATCCCATACTCCAAAAGAATTTTTAACTGTCTTGATCTTGTTCTACTAATGACAAATATCACTAGGATTACTGAGCTAATGTACACAAATCACATTCAGGAGAAAGGCACATAACAAATAAATACTTGAACTATGGTAACCAATCACAAAAGCTAAACACTAGAAGTCTTTTGACTTTACTAAAACAATATTATAGTCTTCTAGTTGTCAAAACCAGACCATTAGTATTTCTATCATTTCTTTTTTACAGATACAGAAAATGAAACTAGACAAACTCAAAACTATGTATTATGGTCTTAAAATTTTGATCATATAGAATCTATTGGCTTACAATAAAATATAAACTGCACATCATTTTTAATATTGATTGACAATGTTAGGGTTAGGTAATTTCCATACCTGCTAAAGTAAAATACATAAAGATAAACACCAAGTACTGTTTTTAATGTGTAACAAGAGGTACTTGGAATTAATAAAGTGTATCTGATCAATTTTTTTAACTATAGGAAAGTAAATGTTAAGATATTTACCTATAGAATTATCTGGTCCTTTTGATTTGGTGTATGACAAAAATGCAGCAAGAAAAAAGATAGATGACAAAAGTTCTGCTCTTCCAACAACACCTGTTACCTAGAGAGAGAAAGAGGGAGGGCAGTTCATATTAATGGAGAGTACTGTAACTTTATGAACTGAAGTCTGTAACTTAAGAGCATTCTTCTGTTTCTCAACATTTCAGCGCCCTCAGGTGGTGAACTGATAGAAATTTATCAGTGATACTTTGCTTTTATTATTATTTCAAACTTATTTTGAAATAAGTTTGTAGATTCAGAAGACATTGGAAGAGTAGAACAAAGAGGTTCTGTGTATTTGTTACCCAGGTTTTCTTAATGATAACATTTTATATGCTTACAGTATAATACTTAGAAGAGTTCTTTAAAAACCTAAACACTTTGCTAGGTACAAGTGGCTGATGCCTGTAATCCTACTTACTCAGGAAGCTGACATCTAAGGATTGCAGTTCAAAAGCAGCCCAGGCAAGAAAGTCACTGAGACTCTTATTTCCAATTAAGTACCAAAAAAGTCAGAAGTGGAGCAGAGGTTCAACTGATAAGAGTACTAGCCTTGAGTAAAATAGCTTAGGGACAATATTCAGACCCTTAGTTCAAATCCTAGGACCAGCACAAAAGAAAACAAACAAAAAAAATCTAACCTCTTTACCTTTTTTCTTAAAAGTAAGTTATTAAAATACATAGGTATAAAAAGATTACGTATAAAATTCCAAGCTATCATTTTAAAGCACTTGAGATCACTGTAAAATTTAAAACAAACTTTTGTAAATGAATGGAAAAGTCCTTAGTCAGATGCCATAGAGTCAGTGGGAAATACACACTTTAGCTTACAAAGGAAAGCTTGTAGTAACTTAACAGAGTACTTACCTCTTGCTGGGAGTTACCAAAATAATAATAATAATAGCAATAATAATAACAGTTTTAGAGAAAGGCTAAACACATTGACAACGCAAGAGAAAGTTCAGTTTCAAAATATATAACAAAAAATACAAAACTACTGACTACCATTATTTGTCAGAAAAGGTGTTCAAAATTGTATGCATTTTCATATATTTTTATGGTTCGTTTAAACTGGTCTTATTTATTTTTTCCTAGTACTGGGGCTTGAACTCAGGGTCTCATTCTTAATAAGCTTGCTTATTCAGCTGATACTGCAACACTCTAGCCACTTCTCAAGTCCAGTTTCTTGCTAGACACTCTGGTTTTATACTGAGATCTCAGCCTTCTGAGTAATTACAGCCATGAGCCACAAGGGCCCAGAGTAAATTAATTGCCTTTATTGAATATTTTCTAGTTTTGTTTTTGGTCCTGGGGCTTGAATTCAGGGCGTGGGCATTCTCTGGGCCTCTGTACTCAAGACTAGTGCTTTACCCACTTGAGTCACAGCACCATTTGAGCTTTTTTTGAGTAGTTAATTGGAGATAAGAGTTTCATGGACTTTTCTGCCCAGGCTGGCTTCCAACTGAGACCCTCATATCTCAGCCTCCTGGGTAGCTGTGATTACAGGCGTGAACCACCAGTGCCGGGCAATTTTCTACCTTTTAACATTGACAAGGATGACAATATGTAAAATCTGTACTGACAAAAAACAATTAGCAGGAAGGGGAAAAACAAATAGTTTAAATAGGGATACAGGTGGACCCACTGCAACAATGAGATGTACAAGTCGTTATGTCGAAAATGAACTTTACAACTTTCATGTGTGTGTGGGGGGGGAGGATGGGAAGGGAAACAAAGGAGGAGGCTACAATGCTTGATAAGAAATGTACTCATTATCTTGCCCATATAATTGTAACTCTTCTGTACAGTATTTTCACAATAAAAAATAAAATTAAAAAAAACAATTAGCAGAAAACTCTATTCGTTTAAATTTTATATTATTAAAGTTAGATTATATGTGTTTTAGGTGAGTTAATGTATTAGCTTCAGAAACTAATTTTTTTTTTTTCCTGGTTGTGGGCTTGAACTCTGGACCTGGGTGCTGTCCCTCAGCATTTCAGCTCAAGGCAAGTGCTCTACCACTTGTCCACAGCGCCACATTCAGTGTTCTTGTGGTTAACTGAAGATAAGTCTCATGGACTTTCCTGTCTACGCTAGCTTTGAACCATGATCCTCAGAACTCAGCCTCCTGAGTAGCTAGGACTACAGGCGCAAGCCACTAGCACCGAGCCAATCAAAATTTTATGTAGTAGGAAAATTATATTTCCTATCTATGTGAGAATAAACACATATTAATTTAGGAGAATTCAAATATCTGAATGAAAACCAGGCAACCTTTTCTTCTTACAGTAACTACTTAATGTTTGTTAAAATAAAAGTAATATTTTACTTACTGCTTCTGTATGAATTGGGTGTACTGCAAAAAGCAAAGCAGCAATCACACTGCTTCTGTTGTCCAGGAAAAGTTTGCAGACTTTAAGAAATATCACACTGACTACAGCATGAAAAATTGTATTTAGAAGATGATATGACATTGGCTTTAGTTCACTAAAGAGATAATTCAAGCGAAATGTCAACACTGTTAAGGGTCGGTAAGACTTGTGGCTTCTTTCCTAAAAGGAAAAACAACCAGTGATTATTAAAGTACTTGGCTCTTTAGGTTGAAAAAAACTAGTTACTTCTTTTTTATTATTAACTTAATACCCCCAAAGTAATACATGCAAGAGAGATTATAATCTATTTTTCTATTTCTTATGTCCAAAATTCAGGTAACTTAATTTCCATGATACGCAGTAATCAGAGAATAGTAGAGTTTGATATTAACTCCTTTAATACTGGGTTATTTCCAAAGCTTGCCTTCTTACCTAGTACCAATGCAAAAGTTTATAAAACTGCTGGCTTCGAAAGGAAATAAAAGAAAAGAATGTATACCAGTTTAGCTGGAATACTGTTGTTTCAAAATGGTACTCTCAGTTGGGTGTAGTGACTCAAGCCATTTCTACAGAAGTTACCTTAACAAAAGGAACTTTAAATGAAGATACTTAATAGGCCAAATGTTATTAGAAAGCCCTGTGGTTCTCAGCCCAAGACTGTACCAGAAAACTACCTACATGACTTACCTATCAATCTCACTGCCCCAAAACAGCCTCAAAAAAACAACATTCAATATGAGCAAAACAATGCAAAAAAATATTGATCACATCCATGTGGTGACAGTCCTGGGGCTTGGACTCAGGGCCTGGGTGCTGTCCCTGAGCTTCTTGTGCTCAAGGCTAGCACCCTACCTCTTGATTCTTTCTGTTTATGTGATATGAAGAAATAAAACCTAGGATTTCATGCATGCTAGGCAGGCACTCTACCACTAAGCCACATTCCTAGCCCCAATAATGATTAAAATGTTCCCAAAAGAAGTATTTTATTGTGTAGTCAGGACTGTGAAATACAAAGTAGTACATTATCTACAGAATGGGTCTACAAGAGATAATTTAAACACTTGAGAAGCCCATGGTAGTCCAAAGACCTTTAATGTGGCAGTACTCATATGGATAAAAAGAATGTCCTACACCCAAAAGTCCAAAATGGCTTTCTATTTCCATGGTAACATCAACTATTAGTTCTTCAGAAGTACCAATTCCAGTTTTTTGTGCAGGCTTATAGTAACTAAATAATAGTAAGAATAATTTTCGCCTACTTTCACATTTGCTACAAGGAGAGAATATGCCAATCAAAAAGGATCAGAAAGTTTGGTGTTGGTGGCTTTTGCCTGTAGTCCTAGCTACGCAGGAGGCTCTAAAAATGAAGCCAGCCCATTCAGAAAGTTTGTAAGACACAACCTCCAAAATAACTAACAATAAGTTGGTTAGAGGAGTGGATTAGGTGATAAGAGTGCCCACTGAACAAGTAAGGCAAGCAAGCATGATGTCCTGAGTTCAAACCACAGTACCAGTAAAAACAAGCAAATAAGCAAACAAACTAACTAAAAAACTGCCATTCCATTCTAATTTATTTACCACTCTACCTCAACATATTCATTGGAATTGTGTTCTTAGTCTGCCAGTCTATGAATATTAATACAAATCTTTATCTTTGTTTGTATAGGGGAGCTTGGGAAAATATGAAACATGCAATCTGCAAAGTTTAGAAAAATATCACACATAGAACAGAGCAGTGACACCATGATATGCTAACTCTTACAAGGTCTTTAAATTGGTCAACTGTCAGTTTAGAATTCAGTTTTATGAATGCATCTACGACAGGTTACTAGGATAGGTTAGGGGAATGGATTTGAACTTCTAAGAGTCTCAACATACAGAAGAGAGGTAGAGAAGGGAAAACTGCATGGAAATAATATACTGTGAATTTAACCTTCATTATCAAAAGTTGTTTTTTGTAAGACTAAAACTAGGTAATTAAGAAAGAAAAGTCTATTTATTTAATAAGTACTTATATGTTTATGACCAGCAGAATGAAAAATCAGATTCTTATTGTTTTTTAATGTCAAAATTTAGGGACTGAGGAGAGAGAGAACAACAATGATGACTGAGAAAACAACTACAGAAATATTACATGTTATGCTTCAAGAACAATGTGTTCAAAATCTACATACATATTAGAGACTAATGCATTTGTCCTCAGATATTATTGTCTTACATACATTAGAGAAATAACTTACCATCTAAAAGCTGTATGCCACTTTCCATTTCATATAACATTAAAATAAAACCCAGTCTGTATGAGAACCAAATCAGCAAAGATTTAATCCTGCACAGTTTAACAGTGACTTTCAAAATGACTTTGAATTTTACATAAACTTTTTGATTACAAAGAGGTAGTGGCCAATATGTGTATACTTAATTATTTTTACCTTTAAAATCCAACGTTAAAATCCATACTGAAGTTACAAAAGATGACACCAGTCAATTGCCTAACTTACACAAGAAAATTAATCATTCAGCAAGAAACAGACTTCCATTACACCTTAGGCTCTTCTTATACTTTTTATTGGTGCTGGTCCTGGGGCTTGAACTCAGGGACTGGGCACTGTCCCTGATCTTTTCAGCTACCACTTGAGCCACAGCTCAACTTCTGGCTTTTGGGTGGTTAAAGATAAGGATCTTATGAACTTTCCTGCCTGGGCTAGAAAGAGGTCCTCAGATCTCAGCCTCCTGAGTAGCTAAGATTATAGATGTGAGCCCCCAGTGTTCAGCTATAAGTTTGGTTTTACATATACATATTAATTTTTATAAAGTAAGCTAAGGTACACAGCAAAGGAAATAATCCAGTACTACTTTAAAGATAACTGAATTTTTAACTTCCTGTCCAACTTATTACAAAGAAGTTATTTCTTCTAAAGTAAGTACTTACTTACCTCTGACATAGGGGTTCCCCAGAAGTCATTCTGAAACAATGTTTTTAAAGGTGTGGATGGATGCAAGTCTTTATTATCCAGTATTGCTGAAACATCGTCAAAAACAAACCCACAGAACAGGCTGTTCCAATAGCAAGCAGTAACCACACCTACTATTAAGGTTATTTCTTTGAGGTTAATGTCACCCATCTTTCCTATAATAACTGCAGACAAAGGGAAAAAAAGGCAACATGGAAGATAAAAAGAAATAAGCAACATATTTCAGGTAACTATTTCAAGTAACTACAGTATCAGTAAATAATAAGACTGTAGCTAATACTTCCACAGAAAGGCTCAACTTATATACTTCCCACTGCTAAGAAACATTAGCTAATCAATTTGCCATATGTCTAACCTAAGGCAACATTTTTTGTTTTCATAGTTCTTTCTGTTTTTTTAAATCATATTTAATGTTTAGTTAAATAGACAGTGGAGTCCTTATCAATTGACATTAATCAGGCTACAAGGGAAAACACAAATATTTAAAATAACTTTAAAAGACCAGCATGATGTGCTCCAGGAGTATCTAAACTATTTTTGTGTGTGTGTGTGTGTAAAAATAAACACAACACAGGTTTTCCAAACCTCTGAAGGAGCTTATGAATATTAGTATTTTATGTATTTAAAACCAATCTAATTTAGATATTCTACACCTTTGTTTACATTTGTGAAAAATATTTTTCTTGGCTGCTTTTATCTACCTTTTAAAGAACTGTGGTGCTACTATTCCTCTCTTCCACTCAGACAGATTATCTATTTGGCTCTTTGGATATCTGAACAATAAATACCCGACATCTTACAACAAAAGCTGTTAGCCCTCACAATAAAGTAGCAATGAAACATACGGGCTACTACTTTAGAAAGGATTCAGTGAGGCAATGGTTTAAAGTAGAAGGGTCTATATTAACTGGAGAATACACACACACGAATACACACACACACACACACACACACTACTACTTTAGAAAGGATTCAGTGAGGCAATGGTTTAAAGTAGAAGGGTCTATATTAACTGGAGAATACACGAACACACACACACACACACACACACGGAGAATACACGAACACACACACACACACACACACACACACACACACACACACACACACACACACACACACACACACACACCCCTACAATATAGCCCTATATAAACTGCAATCCTTCTTAGTGTTTTAAGTCTACTTGTGGAAGACACAGTTCCCCCTCAGACTGAAATAAAACAAAACTGTTTGTGTCCAAATCCCCTGCAGTTGAGAATGGCTATACTAGTTACCAAGGGCCTTAACAAGAGAAGATGACGGTCTCATTGAAGTTTTCATTGGAGAAATGGCAGAGTAGAAGCTTACTCCATTGCATGCCATGAAAGAGGAAAAATCTAAGTAACAAAATAATGACTATATTTTCAAGAGCAAAAGAAATGAGGAGCAGAACCAAATGCTGAGTAATGAGACAATTGAAAAATAACAGGACAGTTGACAAAGTAAATTAGGAAACAGTTTACAGCTCTTAGTAGGGGAAGGTGAATTTGAAGCCTCCACGAAGTAAGCTAGGTAAGCCTCTGTGATAAGACTGGCAGAACTAGTTGTGGGACATCACGTACCCACTCACCTGAAAGCCTTAAACTTCAGTGTGAGGATCTGGTAGGACAATGACATCGTCAGGGTCACAAGTCAGAATGGGAAAAGGCAATTCACTTCCCCTATTCTAATAGCAGTGGCAATGCCATCAAAAAAAGGGCTTCTTATTTGAAGCTAAGGTACTTACCGACTAAAAACAAGGAATAATCACTACTCAGGTATCCTGAGTCAGCCAGTCAGAGAGCCTGCAGGAGACGGTGAGCAGGTTGTGGAGAGGAAAGACTGTGATGTGGACAAGCTGATCAATTAATGGGAGATTCACCTCTAGAAGTATAAGGTGGAGGGGTCACCAGCCCAGCTCTATCTAGTCAGAGCAGTTTCACTGCTTGTGATTATTATAGTAACAAAGCATTGAGCCCTCAGATTCTAGGACTGTTGGCTGGTTCAAGTGGAGGTACCAGTCCCTTAGGACTTGAAAATCAAAGAACAGCTGAAGGAGTCTTGGGACATCCAGCCAAAGTATCTTGGGAGTGACATGACTACAGACAGAAAATTTAACATGAGTGAGCTGGGAAATTAAAGAAGCATCACAAACTAGGACAGTGAACAGTTAGATCCTATTCTTCCTAGCTTAGGGCAAGTTCCAGGGCCCAAGGATAATTGCAGAAACACCACCAAGCCTACAGATGGCAGAGTGTTCAGCATCTAGGAGCTATCTGCTGTCTGTAGAAATTTGCAGTTAGGTGAGATTCAAATAGGACCCTGAGCTCACACAATACCCTCCAGTCACTTCTGCTCCATAGGCTGACACACTACTGAATGGGGTCTGAAAAAAATTGAGATCTTCAGGCAAAGCACGAGTCCTTCAGTTCTATGGCACCAGTGCAAAACTCTGTGCTCCGTGTGTTTTCTTCACAATCAGGTATATTTAAAAAGACAGGCTGACAATCGCACATGTGCAACTTTAAGAGCAAAATTGGTTTCCCTAAAAAAGAATTCTGAAAGAAGAAATTTTGAAAGGTGTTCTTATAACCATATCAACTAGTAAGTTAACCTGGAAGTCTTTAAATGGTAATCTCAGGACAAATGGAGGGCAAGACAAAATTAACATCATTGTTTAACTTCTTCTTTTTTTTTTTAAGGGTCTTGCTATGTAGCCTAGATTGCCTCTGAAACTCACAATCCTTCTGCCTCAGCCTCCTGAGTGCTAGGTTTGCAGAAATGTGCAACCATGCCTATTTTTAACTAAAATCATATAATTTGGGGAGAAAATTCAGAATCAATGTGCAAGAGGTTGCAGAAAAGACAGAAAAGCTGTTTCAAAAATTTCCCAAGAGAACATTAAGATGAGAAAAAAGGACAGCTTATCCTAGGTCATGTCATAAACTCAACTGTGGAGTCATGTCAGGTTCTGTACAAGAATCACCTATAAAGTTGAAGAATAAAGGTTATACAGTGCTCAGAGGAGACATGATTCTCAGGGGCTTATTACTGCAACAGTTTTAAAAATGGTTTCTTGTAGGAACTTGTAGGATTTTTCTAAGCATGTAAGCATATACACATATGCATATGCTATAAGAGAGAGGAATGGCTGATACATAGTATACCAAATCCAGCTGCATTTGAGATAGCATAGTTCATAAACTGCATTATAGATACAAAATCCAATTTCTTCATTAAAATTGTATTGAGTGCTCATTTTTTATTACTCTTAACAGTATAATTGTAAATTGACTTTTATATGGATTAAAGAATTTTTAGCCTGGAAAGAAAATCCTCCCAGTTCAGTCTCCTGAGAAATTAAAAAAAATCTAATCTCAATTATTGTTTTGATCATTTACATTAGTTGTTATCTTAAAGTAACTTACTGGATTTTATTACTATCTTGAAGCTTAAAAACTCTAGCTTGCAAAGTTTGTAAAAGTTGTATTAACGGTGACTCCTACTATTATTTCTAGTCTCCTCATGTTGAAGGAAGACAAGCATCTACTTGTTACAGAGACATTTCTTTCCCTAAGTGAAAGACAATAAACAGGAAAGTTTACTGTACACATTAGTTATTAAATTTCCAATGATTCTGCATTATTTTAAACACTGGAAAAATAAGTTATCATTTTCTCTGTTGGTAAGTCAGCAAAAGGAATGTAACATCTAAGAAATTTAAAGTGATTGGTACAGAGAGCAGAATTAGTACTTATTAAAGTCAAGGCTTTTTTGTGAAGTGATTTTGGTAAGGCAAAACTATTCACAGAAACAGAAGGCAGGTTCAGGCAAGTGTTTCTGTAACAAGGCCATTTACAAAATTGTCACATAAAATCTTGTGTTAATGAAGACTGGCTGATACAGAAATTTAGATGGAAAATAGTATGGCATGGGTGTTCAAAAAGTAGTAAATTTCACTTATGCCATCCTCTACAACATTATGGAAGACACCAAACATGAAAAGTGTTTAATTAAAATTCTTGAATAAACAAGGTTATAAAAACCAGTATATGTACAGTTTACTAAAACAGCAAGATTGAGGAGCAAATCTTTCATGAAATATTGGTTTCCAGACTACATGAAGTGTCAGTATGGCAACCTTCCAGCCAAAAGGACATGTTCAATCACCCCATTAAGTTAGAACACAATACTTATAACTTCTCTGAGCTTCAAGTTAACTGAGATGGAAAATGAGGATAATGAAAACACTCATTTCACTGCTGGACTATTAATGAAGAATAAATGAGTTCATAAACAGTATTTGGTATAATATTGTTTTTTTTTAAAAAAGCAGTTGGCAAATAAGACAAATGTCATTAAATTTTATCTCACAAAATGAACCTGTATTTCCTGCGGAACGATGTCTTGTTCAACCTCAATACGTGTTTTATAGAAAAAAAAATCTACAAGTAGAAAAAAAATCTATTGTCAATTACAGTTAAAAAAATATTCAAAAGCACTTTAAATAAATGAGAGAGGATACTGGTCCCAACCGTTGGAAATGTCATTTTGATTTCAAGCCTAGCGCTTCTTCCGAAAGGTTACCTAGAGTGATGGAAGCATCCTCCTCCAGAAGGGCTGCGCAGCTGAAGGGTGAGGGAAACTTGCTAGAGATTAAGGAGGGCTAACAACACCGAGTGGACGCCTGTCGCAGCCAGCGCCCAGGGTAAACAGGCAGGTGCACAGCAGAACGACCCCTTCACCAGCCCCGATCTCCTTTCCCAGAGCCTCCTCTCCCCAGGCCGTCCGGCTGCGGGGCCGGCGGGCTGGAGCGGAGGAGGAGGCGGGTCTTCGCTTCTCACTCGTCCGGAAACCGTGAAGGAACTCGGCGGCACCCCTCGGGTCCACCACGACGAATTCCGAGGCTCCACGAAGCGCCAACTTTGCCCCGCTCTGGCAAAGGAAGGTACCAGCCCAGACGTAGCACGGACCGCACACCTGACGAGCAGGTGAGGCCTTCGCACCTCTCCAGACCCGGGCTGGGCCCCGGAACCCCGAGGGCAGGCGAGTCCCTCAACCCCCGCGCTTCCTTCAACGCCTCAGCCGCCGACCCACCACCGGACCTCACCTGAGGGCGGTCCCACCGAGGGCCTGGTTTAGGGAAATCTCCGGGAGAGCCGTGTGGTGAGGGCCGCCCCCAAAACCACCGTCATGGTTCCTGGCGCCCAGGCCACCCGGGCAGATGTCGATCTTCCGCGGCGTCTCCCGCCTCTAGGTCCTTCCCACCCTCTCCGGTACAGGCGCAGCCTTTCGCACTGAATCACGGGAACGCTCTACAGTTCCCTATTCGGAAACTTCAATTCCCGGCATGCTCAGCTAAAACGCAGAACTGCACTCTGGGATTTGGGGTCCTCGGTACACCCTACGCCTTTTCCTGGTTCTTGACACTGTGGTCCAGGATGCGGGCGGGAAAGTTTAACCGTAAAACATCTCCGGAGGTCGTAAAATGTAGGCTTTCCTTGCATCCGGGGCCTACAGCCGGCTTTAGCGTAGTGGTGGAGGTGGTGGTGTGGGGCGGGGCGTCGCCTAGCAGCCGGATGCCGCCGCGGGTTTTGCTTGCTCTGGACGGAGTTGGCATTGGAACGGCCTTGGGAGTGGTCAGAAGCTGCTGCGGGGGCCCAGGGAGGTTGTTGAGGCGGATGCGGGACTGTCACTGATTGCCGGGCGTGGCCTAGGTGGGTGGATCTGGGGAGCCCGGTCCCGCTCTTGCTCCGCCAGCAGGTTCTTTAGATCGGAGCCCGAGTGCCGCTGCCTCCCTAACCCGCCCCCGTTAGCCTAGATCTTCCCTGTCTCAACCCTGGTTCCCCACACACTGCTTGACTCCCGTCTATTATTTGCGCCCTTCCTGTAGCACCGACTCCCCGTTCCTGCTTCTCAGAATCTGCTCACCTGCAGACTTCCATCCTCCCCCCCCCCCCATCCCCGCGCGCTGGGCACGGTCAGGTGTTCGCGCGTGCGCACGCCGTCTGTGAGGTTTCAAGGGGTGTGCGACAGGGCCTCAGAATCTTACTTTTATGTTAGCAAAGAAGTCATCAGACATTGCCTCACCCGTGCTGCATCTGATGTTTTGTGCCTAGATGCTGTAATCTTGGCGGAGAGGACATTTTGCTCACGTATCTGTTTTAGCTATTGAGGAACCACCATCCTTTGCCCACACCTTCGAGTTATGGTGAAGCTCTAAACTTAGTAATGCTGATTGTATTGGAAAAAAACAAACACAAGAAAGTTCCACTTGTTTTGTTACAGGAGGTGGAAGAAGTCAAGATGCCACCTTATATAAACTGGAAAGAGATAATTAAAGTGGACCCAGATGACCTGCCTCGTCAAGAAGAACTGGCGGATAATTTGTTGGTTTCTTTGTCCAAGGTGCTTAAATGATACATCAATTGTTTGTCAAATAATTCATATTGATTTATTGTCATTAATTTAAACTACCAGTAAAAATCACCGAATGCTACGAGAAGAACGTTTATATTTGCTTAACGTTTATTAACTAGTTCCTTTTTTTTTTTATAAAAACTTAGGTGGAAGTAAGTGAACTGAAAAATGAAAATCAAGAAAATGTGATACATCTTTTCAGAATTACTCAGTCATTAATGAAGGTTTGTATGCAGTAGATTTTAAAAGTAACTTTGACAGGGAATTTATATCTCTCTTACATAAGGCAATCTCTTATATAAGGCTTAAAATGAGACATCTTTAAATGTGTGTTGAGAGATAGTTGTGTGCAAAACATACTCTAAAGTTCCTAAAAGAGTTGTAGCGGGGGAAAGGATGGGTATGTATAAAAACGATCTAAGGAGGTGTATCTTGAAGTCCAGATGAAAGAGACAGAAATGAATGGAATAGGTACTTGAGTGTATGGGAAAGAGGAATTCAAGCTGTGTCCAAAAGCTAGATAAATGGAAGGCAGTGAAAAGGGGATTCTAGAACTGACAGTTATCATAAAAAGTGTTATAAATATGAAATGTGCTTATTTACAATTGAGGAAACAAGTGCTGACAGTTGGTCAACAATTACACCAATAACAGATTTTAAACTGCAGTTGATATATACAAAAGTATGTTTTAGGAAGGCAAAAACGAAATATGTCATATAGGGCAAATTAAGAGAACTGTAGCTGATTAGCCATAAAGTGAAAGAGTAAAGACAGTTTTATACTAGAATATTAACAATGGGAATATTAAAAAGAGTGAAAAAATACTGCAAGAAAAATGTTTCAAGCTATTGCAAATCTAGAAATTATAGCTCTAAGAAAATAATTTATTCATTCAAAATAGATATTTTCTGAATATCATGTACAATGCATAACAGGCGATTAGGATTAGCACAAAAAATAAAATGAAATTGTATTTTTAGTGTATACATTATAGTGAAGAGGTTTACTTTTTTTTCCCTTTAATGTTTAGATGAAAGCTCAAGAAGTAGAGCTAGCTTTGGAAGAAGTTGAAAAGGCTGGAGAAGAACAAGCAAAATTTGGTAAAGCCTTGTTAAAAACTTATTGTGGTCCACTTACTACTAAGCAGTTGAAAATTAAACTTAATATATCCTGTAAAATACATTCAATTTATTATGAAAAACATTTATACTACTACTTAGATCTTGTATGTAATGTTTCTTTCTTTTACATTATTTTATAATAATGATGGGATCCTTTAAAAGCATTAATTTTGTTATTTCATTGAAATGTATGTAAAAAACTTGTTTCAAGGTAAATCTAACCAGTTGAAATATTTATCTTTTTTAAAAATAGAAAATCAATTAAAAACAAAAGTAATGAAACTGGAAAATGAACTGGAGGTACGTCCATTGTATTGTTTAAAATGTGATTGTCTTAATTGTGTTACTTTGAATTTTCATATTTTTGTGGTGGCTAGAAAATTCACAAGAAGATTATCATGTTTATATTCTGTTCAGTATACTATATGTTTATTAAGTGCTTTGACTTATACTAAGAATTAAGCACATAATTATGAACAGAAAAAAACAGTTAATAGCTGAGGTAGCTGAAAGTCTACAGAAATATATAGAAGGATTATTAGCAATTGAGGAGGAAGGTGGTGGGTGGGGATTTGAGGAAAAAGTGACAGAACATTATGGTAGAAGACTACAGGCAAAATAATAATGTATTGTTGAGATTTTTGGCAAGTAAAAAGAAACAATAGAAATGGAGTAGCCTCTGAAAGAAGAAGAGAAGGCAGAACACAGAACATATTATGTTTGCAGGGTTAGTGCTTGGAAGTTGAGAGACTATACATGAGATCATCTGCTAAAAGTAAGAATGGAAGATGGTATGGTTAAATTTCAAAAGTGTCAGATAAGATGGGTCCTGGTGGCTCATGCCTGTAATCCTAACTATTCAGGAGGTTGCCTAACTATTCAGGAGATTGAGATCTGAGGATCATGGTTCAGAGCCAAACGGAGCAGAATAATCAGAGAAACCCTTATATCTCAGTAACCAACAAAAAGAACAATAGTGTGGTTCAAATGGTAGAGTGTCAACCATGAGTTTTTAAAAAGTGAGCAAGAATTCAAGACCTTGTACAACAACAACAACAATAAAAGAATGTCAAGTAAAGCTTAGTACCCAAAGAAATCAAATTGCAGCTAAGGCAAGGTGGTGAAAAGGACTATTTACAGTCAATTGTCAATAGCTCTCAGTTGTCAGAAAAGCTTATTGTCAGCTTCTGATTTAAACTTAAATAAGCTAAATTAAAAAGTAGTCCTTAAGCTGATAAGATTTTAATCATTTGTTACTAGAACATAATAAAAATGTAAAGTCAAGATAATTATTTGCTGTTCATTTATTTGAATTTCCAAATATGATGGAATTAATTTATACTTTGGATTTATTACTTTAAGATGGCTCATCAGTCTGCCGGTGGACGGGACACTCGGTTTTTACGAGATGAAATTTGCCAACTTGAAAAACAATTGGAACAAAAAGATAGGGAATTAGAGGAAATGGAAAAGGAATTGGACAAAGAAAAGAAAGTTAATGAACAAGTAAGGCATTTTTTTTCAATGAGTCTTTACTGTACTAATAAAGATGTTTCTATAGCACGTCTGATAATGCTTTTTATAATCATTGGCTATATTTACTTTACATTATATGCCATAGTTGAGGAATAAAGTACATCTATTTGAGGTTTTTGTAAAATATAATAGATTACCAAAATATAAAATATTTTGGTAAAATATAATAGATTAAATATTTCTAGTGAATACTACTTGAGTATTCTTTACAGTTGGAGGTACTTTTTATAGGACTTTGGATTACATATATAATAGATGCTTTGGTCTAAAACATTAGAATAAAAAAATAGAAAGGCATACATAAGTAATTTTCTATCATAGTTTTGATTGAAATTGACAGATGCAGTCATGGTATTAGTGTATGTATAATGTATAATATTACATATATTAATATACAATGTTACCAGGCTACAGATGAAGCTTGTTCACATTTTCCTAGAAGTTTTATAGGCAAGGGACATACACCTATTCCAGTCTGACATCAGGTTGCTTCATTTAACCATTATACTGTACTGCCATTGAAGTAGTAGTAATAGTACTTTGAGTAAAGTAGTTCTAGCCAGGACATTTAGGAACCAGGGATATGGAATCTTGGACGATAGCCAATCCTTTCATTTGTTTTTTTGGAGAGAAATATTTTTTGTGTATTTATCCTTTATGTAGCTTTTGGTATGTGCACTTCAGAAAATGTTTTTAACAGCTTGTTTTATCCATTTAAATCCTTTTTAAAAACTTGACTTTGTCTTAGTTTAACTTGAAGTCTGTAGTAAAAAATTTTCTTAGAAAGGATTTAGACTTAACTCACCAAGTGAAAATATGAGTTTATATTGAATTACTGCTGAATTTTATCTCATTTATTTTTTACTACTTAGTTGGCTCTTCGAAATGAGGAAGCAGAAAATGAAAACAGCAAGTTAAGAAGAGAGGTTGGTAAAACATTTTTAGTGGTTGTAGTGGTTCAACAAATACACTTGTTAAAAAAGGTTAGCTTACATTCATATTGTAACCAGAACTGGAACCTTCTAAGTAACTAATATTTTTTAAGTGGATTAATTATGGTATTGCTTTGCTTCAGATAATTAGAAAATAGATCAAAGAGTGTGGTTGTGATGTAATACATTCCTTTCTTAGATCTATGTGGGTTAACTTTCCTTTCTGTTGTCCAAGCCATTCTCTGCTATCTTATTACTTTAGTATTTCACTGAATTTCTGTTCTTAATGCTCTTTCTTAACCAGCATTCTTTTAAAGTTTTTGTTTCTCATGAATTCTTATAAATTTTGACTATTATTTGGTTCTTCTGAGCCAAATAATATTTGAGTATTGTAATTCCCAAAAGGAATTTCTTTAACCTAATCAAAATGTGCTTTGTTTTGATTGGTAGTTAATATTCTTTCTTTACTTATTTAAAATTAATACTTAAATTTCTAAAATTCTTTATTTTTGCTTTCTTTAATTTCTAGCTATTATTTTTAATTATGTCTTGCATTTCTCATTTCTAATTACCCTTTTCCTGTCCTTTTCTGGAGAACAAACGTCTAAAGAAAAAGGTGAGGCCTTAAGGTGAAAACTGGAGAATTTAAGATGCATTTTGAACACATTATTTAGAAGACATAGTTTATTATTTTAGATTGCTTTTAATTTTCTGCTCTTTGGATTACTATCAGAATGAACAGCTACGTCAGGATGTTATTGATTACCAGAAGCAAATAGATTCACATAAAGAATCACTTTTATCAAGAAGAGGAGAAGACAGTGACTATCGATCACAATTATCTAAGAAGAACTATGAACTTGTTCAATATCTGGATGAAATTCAGGTACAATGAATAAAGTCAGTTCAGAGCAATCATTTTTATATAAATTAAGACTACAATATACTATTATAATAAAACACATAATAGTGCTATAGTACAGCCCTCTATGAAAATTCTTTATTATAAATCTGTCACTGTGTAATTGTACAGTGTAAAGTAAGTTATATCTTTAAAGTTATATTTTTTGCATTCATTTTTATAGTTGCCTGTCCTGGCCATTAAGTACAATTGTGGTCCTTTGTACCATTTCCTTGATACAATTAATCCTAAGGGTCTACAAACAATTTTCTTCCCTCCGCATGGACACTGACAACTTCATTTAATTTTAATTTAGTTTAAATTGAAGTTCTTTAAAAAATATTTTTAATTACAGTTTCTTTAACATTTTTAGACCTTAACAGAAGCTAATGAGAAAATTGAAGTTCAGAATCAAGAAATGAGAAAAAATCTAGAAGAGTCTGTACAGGAAATGGAGAAGATGACTGATGAATACAATAGAATGAAAGCTATTGTGCATCAGACAGATAACAGAGTGGACCAGCTAAAAAAAGAAAATGACCATTATAGACTTCAAGTAAGAATTACCCTTATTGTTTTTTTTTCCTACCATTTTTATTTATTTATTTATTTTTTATTTGTGAACATACTGTACAGAGGGGTTACAATTACATGGGCAGGATAATGCGTACATTTCTTACCAAGCATTGGAGCCTCCTCCTTTGGTTTACCCTTCACATCCCTTCCCAGCCTCCCCCCTCCCCCCCAATCCCAACCCTTCTCCTCCCCCCCCTTCCCCCCCCCTTATTGTTTTTTCTTTGTTGGTCATGGGGCTTGAACTCTGGGCCTGGGCACTGTCCCTCAGCCTTTCAACTCAAGGTGAGCACTCTACCACTAGAGCCATGGCACCACTTCCCATTTTCTGGTGGTTAATTGGAGATAAGAGTCTTGGGCTTTCCTGCCCACACAGGCTTTGAACCACCATTTTCTTATCTCAGTCTCTTGAGTAGCTAGGATTACAGGCGTGAGCCACTGGCGCCCAGCAAATTATCCTTATTTTGACTCCTTTATACAGACTTTATATTATTTTATTTCTATGTAAAGCTGGAAATATTTTTCATTTTTCTAGGATATGAGTTTTGTTTCCGTTAATACAGTATGTTACCATTGTTGTATATTTGCATATATGTGTTCTTCATAAAACACCTTGGTCAGGCACCAGGGTTCATTCCTATAATTCTAGGTACTGAGGAGGCAGAAATCTGAGGATCACAATTCACATCCAGCCCAGGCAGGAAAGGCCATGGGACTCTTATCTCTAATTAACCAATAACAAGTAAAAAATGGAGCTATGGCTCAAGTTGTAGAGTGCTAGCCCTTGAACAGAACAGCTCAAGGACAGTATCCAGGTTCCAAGTTCAAGTCCCCAGAACAGCACATACAAAAAAAGCAAAACCCATACTCATCCAAAACACCTTATAATTCTTGCTATCTGGTTATATAAATGATATTTGAATTAATGTGTAGACTTTTGTCTTCCAAATCTTATAGTTATGGGAATTTTCAGGCTGTTTATATGGCTCAAATTGCAGAGTGCCTGCCCAGCAAGTGTAAGGCATTGAATTCTAATTCCAGTACTGAATAAAAAGTATGAGAATATTCTAGTAAGGATACATATAATTTTGTCTGAAAAGTCTTGTTGAAGTAATATTTAATTTTGTATCTTAAATACTCTATAAAATATTAGATACCAATATACCATTCACTATTTACATGGGCTCAAACCTTTTAAAAAGTAGAATAATACTTAAAAGTGTAATTCTGTACTAATGAAAGCAGTTATACAACTACAGGTTCAGTATACCTTACTTAAAAAATGTTTGAAGTTGTCATGTCCAAAACGAGCTTTACAATGTCTGTGGCGGGGGGGGGGGGCGAGGCTGGGAAGGATGTGAAGGGTAAACAAAGGAGGAGGCTGCAATGCTTGGTAAGAAATGTATGCATTATCCGGCCCATGTAATTGTAACCCCTCTGTACAGTATGTTCACAAATAAAATAACATAAAATTTTAAAAAAATGTTTGAGACCAGAATTGTTTCAGGTTTTGAATTTTTTCAGATTTTTGGATTATTTACAAATGCATAATGAGGTAGCTTGGGGATAAATTCCAATGTATGTATACCTCAGACATATATATATATATATATATATATATATGTATGTATGTATATCTGTATCACACATATAATATAGATACAGATATAATTGTCTGAAGTATTTTTAGCATGTCAGCTTTTCAACTGAGGTCTATCATATAGGATATATAGGACATATAGAGATATGGTGTCATGTCAGTGCAGAAAAGCGTCCGAATATTAGAGCATTTCAGATTTTGTATTTGAATTGGTATTCTGCTTGTATAAAAATACAGGGAGCCATTAAATGTCACTTTTAGCTGCATGACTATTCCACAAATAACATGTCTTGTAATGCATCTATAAATATAATTACATGTATATATAACTACATATAATACACATATTGTATCACTGTCTATCAATTTTTGTACTGATTGTCACCTTTTAGGTGCAAGAACTCACAGACCTTCTGAAAGCAAAAAACGAAGAAGATGATCCAGTCATGGTAGCTGTCAATGCCAAAGTAGAGGAATGGAAGGTGATTTTCTTCATTGATACACTATCATTTTTTTATATATTAGATTTAAATCTTGTTTAAAAGACTAAAAGAACTTTTACTAGTTGGTAACATTATTATTATTACATTCATTATTTATATTAAACAGAAAAGATCAAAATTGTGCTTTGTAGTCCCCCAGCTCATTTTTCATTGAATGGGCCACTCAAATCAATAGTAATCAGATGTGTGGTCAAGGAAAGACCTATCAAAATCACTTGGGAAGCCTTTTCAAGCAACATCTCATCCTCTTCATCATACTCCAGTCCTAACCAATTTCACAGTCTTACTGTATCAGAAGCTGAGGTTATGATGAACGTTTACTTGAAAAACATTGAGATAAACTGTATAATTTTTTTTGATAGTGCCAGTATTTGAACTTAGGACCTGTGCTTACTGCACAGGTGCTCTGCCGCTTGAACTATCCTTCAAACCTTTTGCTTTTCTTATATTTTGAATAGGATCTTGGCTTTTTTGCCCAGTGAAGTCTGAATCACAGTCCTTGTATTTGTGCTTGTAGTTGGGATGACAGGCATGTGCCACCACACCCAAGTTTTTATTGTGCTGGGGGTCTCACTTATCTCTTGCCTAGAGTGACTTTGAACTGTGATCCTGCTAATCTTAGCCTTCTAAGTCACTAGAATTATAGACATAAACCACAAGATTTGGCTCTATTGAATAGTTTTTACTTTAGAAACTTTCATTTCTAGACTTGTTGCTTCTAGTGGGTTAATCTAAATTTTTCTTGGTGGTTTGCAATTGGTTATCATAGTGAAGTTTGGGTATATTTCAGTTGAATTCAGTAAATTTTAAGGGAGTAAATATTTTAATCTAGTCTGTCTGGTAACCACTCAACTCAGCTGTTTTGGCATGAATATGGCCATAATGCATAAATGAATGAGCAAGGTTGTTTTCTTGGAAAACTTTACAAATACTGTGCCAGGCCACATTTTTAAAAAAAAAAAAGATTGACTTCTAAAAAATAAAAATTACAGGGTGTTTTTTTAAATCATTTATTTGAGTTTTAAGTTACAAATAGAGTATCAATAAAATTGTAATGGCAGCTGCTAATACTTTTTCAAATAATTTTATTTTCTGTGCTTTCTTAAATGTACTAATATGTTATTTATCTTAAATGAGGAAACTTACTTTGCTTTTTTAAGAGATATTTTGTTATTTCTAGCTAATTTTGTCTTCTAAAGATGATGAAATTATTGAATATCAACAAATGTTACATAATCTGAGGGAGAAGCTTAAGAATGCTCAGCTTGATGCTGATAAAAGTAACATCATGGCTCTAAAACAGGTAAAACCTCAAAATTTGTTTTATCAAATAGTCTTATTAAAGTTAGAAATCCCAACTGTCTTACTGTATTATCTGTATTTAATTTAGTAGTATTCACAACTAGGCATATAATAAAGTATAAATTTTTCATACTGGTCACATGAAAATAAATTAGATAATTTAGATGATAAATTAGATGATAATTTAGAATCAGAAATGTAAATATTTTGTTGCTTTTTCGTTATTGTTGTAAATACACATACATTGTTTTAGTTAGGAATTGTTCAATGAGAAACTACGGAAAATGTTTACCTTACTACTCTGTTATTAAAGTTTGTTATATTTCAATCCTGGAGTACTTTAGTATAAGACTAAAATTTATGCTTATAATTTGAATGTGCTACCTACTTTGAATGTGCTTCATTTTCAGTGAAAATACATACTCATTTATAAAAGAGCCATACTTTCACCATCTATATAGAATGAGATTTGAGAAGTGTTTAGAGAATATAAACAATTGTAAGGAGCAGCATTTCTGAAAGACGTGCTTAAGATATAGAAGATACATTAAATAAAATAGCAAGCACAGGGAAAAATACAAACATGCAAAATTATCAAGAGATAGAATTGAGTGGTGATGAAGAAGGCAATGTATAAGAAGTAAGTTATAAAATTTCTGTCTGCCAGATTGTTGGTCATTGGATTTATCTTGAAGAGTAGATGACACATATATAAGAAGCAGAGTTTTACCATTATTACATTTATATCCAGAATCTTATTGAAAAGAGTTACCTTTTTCTTCAATTTTAAAATGTATGTGTATATTCATGAAAGGATCTGCACTATTTTAAATACTTTTTAGGGTATACAGGAACGAGACAGTCAAATTAAGATGCTCACTGAACAAGTTGAACAATATACAAAAGAAATGGAAAAAAATACTTACATTATTGAAGATTTGAAAAATGAGCTGCAAAGAAACAAAGGTGATTTCTCCTATTTTTATGTGTTTGAAACTAATTTTATAAAGTTATGTTTTAAAAGATTTTTTAAAAGCATTATTAAATAAAATGGTCAACTAGATGCCTGTAGCTTACAATCAATATCCTCAGATCTCAGCCTTCTGAGTAGCTAGGATTACAGGCATGAACCCAGGCCCTCAGTATGCATATTTTGTTTTTCATATGAAAACAATATTTATATGAAAAGCTTTGCACAGCTGTCCTCAGATCTCAGCCTCCTGAGTAGCTAGGATTATAGGCGTGAACCACCAGGGCCTAGATATAATTCTTTTTTTTTTTTTTGGCCCAGTGGTGAGCCTGAACTCTGGGCTTGGGCGCTGTCCCTCAGCTCTTCACCTCAAGGCTAGCACTCTACCACTTGAGACACAGGGCCACTTCCAGCTTTTTTTTCTGCTTATGTGTTGCTGAGGAATCAAACCCAGGGCCTCATGCATGCAAGGCAAGCACTGTACCACTGAGCCACCTTCCCAGCCCCTGGATATAATTCTTATACATATATTACTAGCATTTAACTTAGTAAATGGTGGGTTTATTTTATTAGCGTTTTGTCCCTTTGATAAAAATGACATGAACATTTTTAAATTGTTTCTTGTACAATTTTGATTAGTGTATCAACATTGAAGATAATTTTCAGAAATAATTTAACATGTTAGCATCATTTGAATTAATTTTGTCCTAATTAATATCACATTATATTCTCCTTACACTAAGCTTTACCCTTATATCTACAAATGGCAAGATAGAGTTAGAGGGAAAACAAGAAAAAATATGTACCAAAGTGTGTTGTGGAGGGCTAAATGGAAGAGGGACTAGCTACTGGGCACAGCTTAGCCTCTTTGACAGCTAAGATATTGGTGTTCTATCTGTCCTAATCTAATGCCTAGTGCAAGTCTAATATACGTATGTTAGAAAATTTTTATTTTACTGTAGGTGAGCATGAGAATTATCTGTCAATAAATTTTACAATGATAGGAGTATTATATTTTGGGACTGGCATTAATTTAGCAAGTGGAGATGTACAGTAGGGAAAATACTTTTCAGCTAAGTTAAAATTAGTTGTAAAAAAACACAAAAAACATTCAAGAATGATTTAAAGCAAGATAGTAACTGGCTTTCTATGATGTGAACAAGTCAGAACAATTCAGTTCAGGCTTAGTATCTTTGCTGCACCTACTCAGGATTCTGTGTCATGGAGTGCTGCTCATCCTGCCTCAACATGGAATTTCCATCACTAGTCCTATGCACAGTAAATCCAGTCTTCATAATCATATTTCAGGTAGTAAGATGGAGGAGAGTGAAAATGAAAAGCAAGATTCACATTACATTTCTTCTTTAAAAAATTCCCTGAAATTCATATATGGCCTCTATATTTATAACTGGTTAGCAGTATAACCACATCTAGCTGCTGGAGTATAAGCAGAACCTTAGGTTATATTTTTAATGGTCATTTGTCCAGCCAAAATCACTGCCACAATGATCAATTTTGTGTGATAGTATTTTGCAACTTTTACAATTCATACGCCATTAGCTAAGGTTCATTTTATTTAAATTTTATTAACCAAATAGCTTTCATTTTGCAAATATAAAACTCCAACCTGAGTACAGTTCTTTGCAGTGTGACGCAATGTATCCTGCCCCATATTAGAATCATTGATTTAAAGGAAAAATTAACTCATGGTTTTTGTTTTTACCCTTTAGGTGCTTCAACGCTTTCTCAGCAAAATCACTATTTGAAAATACAGTCAAAACTACAAATTTTAGAAGAGAAAACTAAGGAGGCTGAGAGAACAGCTGAACTGGCTGAGGCTGATGCAAAGGAAAAGGATAAAGAATTGGTTGAGACTCTAAAGCGATTAAAAGATTATGAGTCAGTATGTATTTTTATCTTGTCAATCAAGAAGCTTAGAATTACTTTTGCCTCTCAAAAAATGATTCGGTCTGTTATTGAGTTGCAATCTGAACACCATTCGGTATATCTTGTAATAAAGGTGGTTTTAATTTATATTAAGCTATTCAAAATTGTAAGCATTTATTTATTTTTTTTGACAGGAACATTGTTTTAAAAACTTCTGGTCAATGCATTTTGCCAGATAAGCAGCTTTTGTGAAGCAGCACATAGTCTTCCTTATTTGTCCATGATGCTGGCTATATAGATGTGACACCACTGGCTGCTTTGATAAAACTGATGACAGAGATAGTTCTGTCACGTACTGTGCCACCACAGGGTACTTTGCGCTTTTTATACTACTTAATATTAATGAGACAACTATATTCTATTGGCAGTCCTGATTCATTTCTAATGTTTTCCTATATTCTGTTAAGTGTTCTATATATGATATTGAGTCATTTTGACATTAGGATATTGTCCTAAGTTTCAGCTATTCTATATTCCATTATTATTATTATTATTATTGCTACTACTACTACTATTACTACTACTACTGGATTTGGCTTACAAAAGCACAATAAAAGCCTGCATTAGTATGTACAAAATTCTTTCTAAGTATCAATTTTAAATGTTTAAAAAAACCTGGATATATAAATATAATTTTTAAATATAATTTTTAAAAATCCATGAATTTAATTTATTGATTTAAATGAATTACTCATTTACTCATGATAAATTTAAATTATACTGGGTATTTTTCAGGGAGTATATGGCTTAGGAGATGCAGTTGTTGAAATAAAGAATTGTAAAAGTCAAATTAAAATAAGAGATCGAGAAATTGAAGCATTAACAAAGGAAATCAATAAGCTTGAGTTGAAAATCAATGATTTCCTTGATGAAAATGAAGCACTAAGAGAACGTGTGGGTAAGCCAGCCTTTGCTTATTTTGTTGGTTGTGGGGGCTGAACTCTGGGCTCTGGTTCTGGACTCTGTCCCTCAGCTCTTCAGCTTAAGGTTAGCGCCCTACCACTTGAGCCACAGCACCACTCTGGCTTTTTTCTGCTTATGTGGAGCTGAGGAATCAAACCAGGGCCTCATGCATGCAAGGCAAGTACTCTACCACTGAGCAAACTTCCCAGCCCAGCCATCCTTTAAGCTATGTGGCTTTTTTCCAACTCTAGTTTTCAGGTTCTTCATATTTACTTTTGGTTTATTATTTTTTTGTTGTTGTTCTTGTATAGTGATTGAGATGGGACATAGAGCCTTGCTTGTATTAGGCCAATACTATCACTTAGTTATACACCTACCCTTTTATTTTAGTTTGTTTTCTTAATGACAATCATTGTTTGTTTAAAAAGTGAAAGTCCATTTTGTTAATACTAGGTATCAGCAGCTCACCTTTTATTTTTATTTCCCCTAGAGGGTCTATATAACTCATTTTGGAAACGATTTATTTCAGAGTAATTCATAAGGACAGACTTATTGATTCTAAGAAGTAAGTTGTAAATATGTCTTGAGAGTTTATATAATGATTTCAATAGTTCATTACTTATACTAACTTGAATGCTGAATTACAACTATCTAATCTAATTTGCTTCTTTAAATTGAAAATACATCTAAATATTCATTTAGTTATATCAACCAGCTAAATGCTGGTTGACACTTTCTTAGACCTAAAAGACCATCTGTAAAAGATTTTCTCTGGAGAAAGGAAAATTAAATATTTCGTATAGAATATTTTCAGATAATGCCTAACTAAAACCTAGAATTTTTCTGGGACCTCAGTAGACATTTGATTAACTTGAACAGACAGGTCAGAAAGAGGAATCTGGACGTTCCTAAAGATGATTTCTGACCAATCTCGAGGCCTTCTGCATTTAAAGATTTAAGTTCATAATTGTTAAGGTCCTGGTTTTTAACTACTCTGATTCATCTTGATATTTGTTCTTTAGTTTGTTGCTTAGCAATAGCCAATTAGGCAAATGCACTGGGAACATCAACATTGTAATGCTAATATATTCTATATTGATTTTGATGAAGACTACTCTATGGCAGGTACTTCCCTAAACTCCATATTTAGATTAATTTCATTTTACTGTTGGCAGGTCAGAATATTTTTTAAAGGCAGTATTACTTCTATGACTTAGCTACAAGTTGAAAGTTGAAAGCTGTATTTCAAACCTAATATTCTTTTTTTTATTGTGAAAATACTGTACAGAGGGGTTACAATTACATGGGCAAGATAATGAGTACATTTCTTATCAAGCATTGTAGCCTCCTCCTTAGTTTCCCCTTCTCATCCTTTCCCATCCT